TGGTTTATTACCTCTTGTTTATGTTCATATTGACTCCTGAGCAATATGGGAAGAGAACAGTCTTTTAACGTGTTTCGTAGAGCAGTACATTTATGTTATGCTTTGTTTGAAAAGGGCAAGTGAGATGATTATCATCAATAAAAAGAAGGAATCTGATGAAACAAGAGAAAAGGGGTATACGCCCCCACGCAACATCCCACCTCCCCCTCCCTATCAGTATTTTGAAAGACCTGGGTCACAGCACTGTATACCTAGATATGGACACATCAACAACATATACACTAAACACATGCTCCAAAATGGGATTTTCCCATCCCCAATCCATTACATAATTCAACAGTTCTGCCAACACACTGTAGAAGTGGAGCTGAAATGAAATATTAACACGAGCCTCGCAGCCTGCCACCAGAAATAGAGAAATATCTCCAAAGGTGTTTCTATCTATGGCATACCATTGCAAATATGCAACAAAATGAAGACCAAGACAGTGCAGAAATAACCCTTTTTTCAAATGGTTTAAGAACAATATTATGTGTCATACAGAGACCACATTTGTCCCATCCCATCATCACTGCAACAATCCCAATAACAACAGCTCAGTGTTATGCATATTGTAGAATGGTCAAATGCAGAGGCTATACAGTACACTCTTAGAAAAAAAGGTGCTATCTAGAACAAAAAAGGGTTCTTCGGCTGTCCCCATAGGAGAACCCTTTGAAGAACCCTTTTTGGTCCAGGTAGAACCCTTTCCACAGAGGGATCTACATGGAACCCAAAATAGTTATACCTGGAACCAAAAAGGGTTATCCTATGGGGACAGCTGCAGAACCCTTTTGGAACCCTTTTTTCTAAGAGTGTACTGTATGTATCTTTTGTCCTGTCATGCTGGTGGCTGCCATGTGGTTGAGTGGTTGGGAGTGGGACTCACAATGTCCTATGGGTTGTGTGTTCCTACAGCAGATGCTCAGGTCAAAAACAAGTGAAGCAGGAAAAAAAGTGACATGACATTTGAGGATTATACTGATGCATGTTGTTAATTACTACACCTACAGTATATGAATGATTGTTGAGAGTACAATATGATGTTGAGATACCCATCATGTACATAATGTTAATCAATGTTACAAATATAATACTAACTCTACTAACGTCAAGTGCACCAGTAAAACATTCATAAGATGGTGACACAATGCTCACCCTTGTAATGAGTGCTGAAATATGAATGACTCAGAGGATGCCATGTGTAAGCAGTAGGAGAGAGAAAACGGTTATAGTCACTCCAAATCCATTGATTAAACAAACATGCATGTGTGTGTATGTGTGTGTGTGTGTTTTGAGTGGCACTACTTTGTTTTTGTTTTCTCATTATGTGATTGGTTTCGATCCACAAAGTAGGCATTTGTCTCTACATGCTAGAAGATCAGTTGAGCTGACATTAGCCAGCAACCCATGATTTTCATCTTGTCTGAAATGGAGGCAACATAACATGGTTTTGGCATCTTCTAACAACTGTAACTGCCATTTCCAGCAATCTAGACAAAAAAAATGGCCTTACTGTATATGATAACAAATAAAGAAAAAAAGTACTTTAATATTATATTTTACCAGGTAAGATGACTGAGAACAAATTTTTATTTACAGCATCGGCCTGGGGAACAGTTACAGGGGAGAGGAATGAGCCGATTGGAAGCTGGGGATGATTAGGTGGCCATGATGGTATGAGGGTCAGATTGGGAATTTAGCCTGGACAACAGGGTTAACACCCCTACTCTTAAAATAAGTTATATGGGATCTTTCGGGACCACAGAATGTCAGGACACCCATTTAACATACCATCCAAAAGACAGCACCCTACACAGGGCAATGTCCCCAATCACTGCCCTGGGATATTTTTTTAGACCAGAGGAAAGAGTGCCTCTTACTGGCCCACCATCACCACTTCCAGCAGCATCTGGTCTCCCATCCAGGGACTGACCAGGACCATCCCTGCTTATCTTCAGAGGCAAGCCAGCAGTGGGATGCAGGGTGGTATGCTACTGGCCTCATTTTTTGCATAATGGTGCATAGTGGTGCAGCCAGTCTGCAGCGCCTCTCACATTCTTTGGGGAGAACCCTGCATAAGCATTACTGAATTCCTATGATCCAAATCTATTTGATCACCACACAAAGGTCAGATTAAAAACCACATTTGTCTGAAACAGTCCTGTGTTATAACAGTGAAGGCAACATTGGCATTGCTAAGAGCGATAGTGCTACATCACAGTATTGCAGTTAGCCACTTGCAGACATGTAACTAATGCAGAGCTAAGACACGTGGTGTGTGCAGTTAGGGCTGCACATTGTTGGGGGCAATCTCATAGTTTATTGCATGATGTCATGATGTCTCAGGGAGTAAGCTAGATACATTGTGGTAATCATACATTGTACACTTTCCTCCATCTTGGGTCAGATGTCAGAGATTGTTTTTGCGTTTCCTCTTGTCTTTTCCCTCTTTTCTCTTTTCCAGACACATTTTCCTTCCCTTTTTGCAGTTTTTCCCCCCCGATCTCTCAAACACCAACTGCTAAATCATCCTAAAGATCCCAATTTCCATTTTAGCTCACTATGCATTATTGTCACTGCGTGTATGTTCTCTCAGGCCCCATATTTCCTATTTCAGGGACACTCTTCTTTCCAAGGTCTCTATGTGGATGACAGATTTCAGTTAACAGTAAACCCATATGAGTCACTAAACTTGTAAATCACTCACAAGAAAATGCGATAATGATTGATGAATGTGATACTAGTTTGGACAATATGGTCTTTCTATTCTATATAAACACACACCAAGCAAAAGAAAACGGTGTCCATTTTCAGATCAAGAGGCACGCTCTCCCTGTCTCTCCTAAACAGATATCTCTTAACAACACACACACACACACACATTTTGGTGTAATCAGCTAATAGCAATCCCACTGTTGATGGAGAGCCTTTCCCCCCCCACTCTCTTGCCTCAAATCTTCTAAGCTACCAGAGGGAGAAAGCCTGTAAACTAGACAGTATAATAATAAGAGAGGGATTTAAAAGTATTTGGGGAGATTCCCGCCTACACACAACAGTGCACCGTGGAACAACACACACTCTTTTGAAAGTTTGTTTGAGTGTTTATTTGCTCGTTAAAATCGCAAATTAGTAGAGGAAGAAAGAAAGAAAAGAGATACATGAGCAGCAGAGATGGGAACCACAATTGAAAACAACATTCAGTCAGAGACGGTTTTAATATTTATATGAACAATTGCTATTCCCTGTTTGTGCATCAATCAATCTATATTCATGAACGGGACAAAACCTTTCTTGAGTAGAGAAAACAAGAGTGATAACAAAAAAAATTGAGAAGGGTGAAGGAAAAGAACGCCAGTGCTATTGTCTTAAGGTCAACGCTTTAATCATCTATGCATGGTGACAGCTCTCATCTCAGAATGATGATCTATCTGTCTCTGTCTTGCCAATAAACGTGAAGAGAGACTATTGCATGGTGAAAAGACCTGCAGAGGAAATAAACGGAGACATCGCTGCTGAATAAAGACTTTCAATATTCCCAAACCGGCCTGTCAGCACCGGATCTGATGGAGGATGGGCCTGTGCCAAGATTCAGATGATGACTGTTCAGATGGTATTGGCTGACTGTCAGTTGCAGATCATATTAGCTAACCACTAATTTTTGATTATGTTAGCTGACTTTCCATAAAAAGTTATGGGTTATTGAGCCTTTGTGACATTTTAATGATGTCTGTTGCACTAAACATGTTCTCATGAGCCATCCTGGTTGGTGGGTGTTACATGCGAAATATGATACATTACACTGATGTTTCAGAGGTTGATTTTTTATTTTTTTTACACCAAGGTGTGCACTCATTTCTGAGCTCCCTACAGGTAAGGCATTGATCATTGTTACATTCTTGACCATTGAAACACCATCTGCAGGAGTTTAAATGTATGTAAATTGTAATAAATGTATGTAAATTGTAAAGTATTTTTGTCTGTAATGTCTCTTTTGATATGTGTCAGACCCCAGCAAGACTAGCTGTCGCCTAAACCAGATATATCATTACCCTTGTCATGACCACTCATAACAAGTATGTTAAAAATTTGCATGGAAAATGCGTTTTCATAATTGTAAAGGAATATGTTTGTTGGATGCTCTGGTCCTCAAAGAAATTTAGCCTAATCACTGAATCCTCCAGGGCTGTATGAAATGTGATTAGAGTGTGGATTTCTAATTAATCTGGCCTTGGTTTAATCATTTCACTGAAGCCCTAGTAATTGGCATTAAAGCTGAGTGAGTTGTGCATGCAACAGCTTCATGCAGTGCAGTGGCTGTACAGCAGAAGTAGGACAACCATAATTACTACTATGCGTCCTCAGTCCTACTACACAGACATGGCTCCTCCCTGGGCTCTGGTTCTCCTGACTGATGATAATACCCAAGCCTTAGGGAAATTCCTTGGGACCAGTTTCTCCTACTCTGATTGTAAACACAGATGTGTCCATTGAAAACAATTAAACACACAGTAAGGATTAATACTATATTCAATGCCAGTCCCTCCCCATCTTCTACATGCATGCAAATTGACAATGAAAATAAAGGAAGGAAATTATACATTGAGGGAATTTGATGCAATTATCTGCCCATGGAGCAAAACAATTCCTGCACAGATATCTCATTTCGATTTACATAATTTAAGCCAAATAGCCTAGAGATCTGGTTCTAGATGGCAGAGTTCAAAACCTGAACAGCGAACAAAAGGTTCAGTCCATTGAAGTTCTTTGGATGCATTCGGACCATTGAAGATCCCTCTCCGCATGAAACAGTGAGTCCTTGTACCATGCGCGTTTCCTCGAAGAAGCAGCGGAACAGAGACGAATGGAGGTGTGGGGGCGTTGATCTTGGTGTCACTGCGCCACCCGCATGGCTACATGGGAACTGCAGTCTCTGCTTTGGTTTAAAAGCTCATGCAGCGCGCTGGGGGGTTACAGTGTGGATTGTGGACCTACAGAGAAAAGGTTTGCACGGGATATTCTAGCGCAAAGGAGGAAAAGTCGTTGAGAAGATGGCAAACAAACCACAGCAGCCTCCTCAACTTCATCTGGCGGAATTGAGCGCCACCCAGTTCGTCGACATCTGGAACCATTTCGATACCGACGGTCAGTACTTGAACCTACTTGAATTTTACCCACCACTTTTCTTAACTAGGTATTGTTTCAAATGTAGATGAAAATGTAAGCTAACATGTCGAATTGTGTAGGTTACATAGGCTATATATAGTCCATCACATCTTTTGTTTTCCAAGTTTTAAAAAATATCATACGCTTATCAAGGCTTTTCGGTTGTTGTTATTTTCAAAGATGCAGCTTGGATATTGGGATAGCGTTGTCTAAAAAGTGTTGTATATCATAACTGAAAATAACTTTTGGCCATGAGGAAAAATCGTACGGTATAAACTGCTGGATGTTTTGAATGTAGATTTTATTTTTTTAATTTTGTGTGGAAAAGACAAGTAGTGCTTCACAAAAAATGCTGTCCATAAGCATTCTACTGCATTGACTTTCTTGGCAGTTAGAAAAGCAGCTGGAAAACTCCTGGTGTTACTGATGAGATATATATATATTTTTAAATAATTTTAAAAAACCCTCTTCAACGGTTATTAATTGTGGGCACTATATTATATCCTTATAAAGGTTAGAATAGGTTACTGTGTATTAATTGATCATGGAATCCAATCAGATAAATGTAATACATCAGTATTACAATGTAAATCAGTCTGTTTGGTCGATCATTACGCATCTGACGGCTAGGCCATACCTCCGTGCGCTAAAGGATGGATGGGCGTGTGCCACACTCCGTCGTCCATATAAAACGTGTGTAGCCTAACCACACAATAAGTTCCATTTTTGTATAGGCCATATAAATAATTAGGCTACACTAACTTAACTGAATACTTAAATAAAGTAATCATATTATTCAACTGTATTGACTTATGAAGGTCCCGTGTAGCTCAGTTGGTAGAGCATGGCGCTTGCAACGCCAGGGTTGTGGGTTCGATTCCCACGGGGGGCCAGTATGAAAAAAAGAAATAAAATGTATGCCCTCACTAACTGTAAGTCGCTCTGGATAAGAGCGTCTGCTAAATGACTAAAATAAATAAATAAAGGATTAAACAAAATAAAAACATCTGGATGATGTTGTCAGGACCCAGGACAGACTCACAGTTTCCATAGGCATCATAATTGATGGTTGGAATCCTGCTTTAGAAAGTTGCGTTTGAAATGTAACTAAATGTTTGAAAAGAGGAGGAAGTTTGTCAATCGAATTCCTACTGTTTACAGACATTTTCGCCATAAATAAAAGTTTGATCCAATAGTATTATATTAGTGTAATTCACGATACAGATGAAATCCTAACTAAACGGAGACAGGCTACTGTATACTTCCAGTATTATATGGAAGTTCTCAGCTCATTTCAAGCGCACGAGCCCACGCCCCTCCACACGCATTACCCCTCGCATCCTCTGAAAATCATCTGGGCATCCTCCCCAATTAATAGTGTTAACTGCACATTCTGTCCCGACCAGTTGTTGAAGCGGAATGAGAATCCTCAAAACGCGAGGAGTCTCTTGGATCACTATAAGTTCCCTCTGGGTGTTTATGTTCTCTGAGCGCAAACAGGGATTGGTGCTGTGGGTCCACCCTATAGGGCATATACTGCACTGTCTCTCTGGCTTGAGCATTTGCTGCAAAGACAACATGACATACGGATAGAGTAGGCATACTCAGTGCATTTCTGCTCTCGTGCAAATAGGCCTAACAGGCTAGGTCAGAGAATCAGATCTTGGGATACCGACTTTGCTGTTGTCCATGGTGCTGAAATGATTAGGCGCACAAAAATGTTAATGAATATTTTTGCTATAGAGAACACACAGAGTTACTGTATATACCTGACGAATGTGTGTCTGATATTGACATTTCAGATGTGCATTATGATGCAGTTATAATTGTAAGACTTGGCATGATAGTGTAGTCCCCTTATAATGTATTATCTTGTAGCTCTTGCATGGCTTCTAAATCGGAATCCACCGGTCTTGTGGGGATTAGATAATCAGCTGGTATTTTTGAACAGTTCATCAAATTTATTGGCACTTGAAACACATAACACCATAATGATTCCCAATGTTTCTCAGCATTTGTTATTGATATTAGCCTAGTACTTGTAAACTCATAGCATATCATTCTATATGTCAAAAAACGACTAAAAATGGCTGATGATAGGATAAGATCATAATGAGACATAGGGGTCAAACTAAAACAAGTCGAATAATGCATTCTGATTGCATGACAGTAAAGTGCTACTATTAAGTTGTTACATTCTAAGGGATACCTTTACTTTTAAGAATAAATAGGAAGCTAATATCAGATAATGTTGGACATGTCTGTGACCACAAAATGGGGACCTAAACCAATACAGTTGGCCACATTCTATTGCCACAATTGTTTAGATAAACATTCAGGATTCATTCATTGTGGATGGAAATTCTCCAATGAAATAGACCCCAAAAGTAAATGAGTAGATCATTGAAAAATAATGGGACATTGCATTACATACTCTGGGCTAGTGTACTGTATATGTCACATTACCATACACAGCATTCTCTGCAATATACATGCTCACCTCCAGCTTGTTGGTGCCTAAGTTATTTACTAACACAGCTATATAAAGTTCATATTCATGATGATATTGGTAGGATTAAATCCGTTCTATATGGAGTAAGTCATGTTTTCTGTGTAATCCCATCGGGAGGAGAAGCACTGAGACGTTTCAGACAAATTCAGGGCCGTCACAAAATACAAATGTCCTTTGTAATGACATATACTTGTTCTTCTGGTAAATATCATACTGACTGCTTTCCCAGAGACTTCGGTACTCAGCCACTTGCAAATGTCACTAGGATCCACAGGCAAATTAATACACAGGCATTTGTAAGACATTTAAATCGTGACGCTGATAGGAAAGGCATAGTTGGTATTTGTCAAAAGCCACTATAATAACCATCTCACTAGTGTTGCTGTTTTTAAAGCTCTATCATTTCCTTAACCATTATTTATAGACATCCAAATAGTCCTGGCAATGGTGCAACTAGGCACAGATGGGAAACCCTCATTTATTTGAAGTTTGAAGTTGAGATTACTGTATCGATTTCTTACAGTGTCATGCCAGGCAGAGGTTTTTCCATTGTCTTTTCAAATAACTGGACTTAAAAGACTTAGAGGCAGAGAGAGAGAGAGAGTAGTGGTGCATTTCAAGACTGGGAGACCCCTTCAAGGGATTTAATGAAGTTATAATGGCAGTCATTGAGCCAGCCATCCAATCAGCCAGCAAGCAAGATACACTTGAAGAAACTGCTGTAAAACAGGGAAGTATTGGCCTAATTTGCTATCAAATGTAAGAGTATGTACAATCTCATTTCTCACAAATCACATTTATGCACATTTCACAGTGGTGCTATACTGTATATAACATGGTGATATTTGATGCTTCACAGTCTACCTGGATGTTAGATACAGTCTTGGGCTGATTGGTCAAATCACAGTTTTTTTCTGTTGCAGGCAATGGCTACATAGAGGGCAAGGAACTGGAAAACTTCTTCAGGGAGTTGGAGATTTCACGGAAAGGGGCTGCAGTGGTAAGGGAATGATCCCTGGGCCTTGACTAAAGGCTCAATTCAATCAAACATGTCATAGCAATGTTCATATAGTATTTATGTTTACATAACTACTGCCATTATGGGATGTCTTAGGCCTATTCTGTCTCTGATGGGTCTATGTGGATTTTATTTTTTACAGTACTTCATCCAAAACCATTTTGTAACAACATTTCTCTAGGGCTATTATACAGTATGCTACAGCAGATATACTGTAATGCTGGTTTGATTTAATTGAGTGAAGGGAAGTGTCATGGCTCTGGTCTTTAATTACAACAGTAAGTTAACTATGTTTGGGGTTTTATTAGGTGAAACCAAAGGACCACAACCTCATGCAAAAACATATTTGACATAGTAATTAGTGTCATGTGAGTTTCCTGTACCAGGATAACAAGCAATGGCACAAAGGAATTCTAGCACCAACTTTTACTGACAATAGTAAAGGTAGTATTTTGTTTGTTCTTTAAATCCAACAGTCACATGTTGGCATCTCCTCACTAATCAAGGTTGTGGTCTATTCTGGTAGGTGGTTAATTGAGTTCTGTAACAAGCCCTAGAGATATGAACTGATGTCTGTAAGCTGTCCAGTCCGTCTAGGACAGAGTTTCCCTAACTTTGTCCCCGGGACCCCAAGGGGTGCATGTTTTGGTTTTTGTCTAGCACTACAAATAATCAAAGCTTGATGATTACTTGATTATTGGAATCAGCTGTGTAGTGCTAGGGGAAAAACCAGAACGTGCACCCCTTGGGGTCCAGAGGACCGAGTTTGGGAAACCCTGGTCTAGGACTACTAGCAGTAATTAAAATGTGACTGATTTGTCCAACCAAGTGCTAATTAATTATTCAAGCAACATCAAAACAAAGTTCTCCAGAGAGTTCTCCCACAGATAGAAAATATAATTTTTCTTGGGAGGAGTCAGTACAATCATTTTCCTGTCACCACATCTCGTGTGTGTACAACAAAGGAATCAGAGAGCATCAGTAATCATGTTAGCTGGGGAGAAGAGGGTTGTCTGTTTAAGAGAGACAATATCTTTGTCTGCCCAGTGTAGCAAGCACTAACATCTAAAACTACCTCTGTCACAACAATGTGAGTGACCACAGCCCTATAACATGAGAGGATGGTTTGCATTAAAAAACAACTGATCTTTACTGATGTTTATGTCATGACAAATTGTATTTGCGTGTATTTGTGTATGTGTTATAGGACCCATCAAACTCCACTTTCAAAGAGAAGATGAAGGAGTTTATGCAAAAGTTTGACAAGAACGCAGATGGGAGAATTGAGATGTCAGAGGTGAGCTGACATTTTTCCATGTCCTATTTCAGGTGATTAAGGATTTGAATATACTAGTGAGGAATATTCCTAATGATCTCAGATAGTTTGCATATCAATGCAGAAATAATCAGACACTATTACGGTAGATGTGTTCTGAAACTGTTGATGACTCAATGATCAATGCTTCATTCAAGTAATCTTTGTCTAAAAGATAAGATTCTATCATCTAACACAGTATTTTTCACACTATCAAACACAGAGAAACAAAAGTTTGAATCTTTCTTTCTTTCTTTCTTTCTCCAGCTGGCTCAGATTTTGCCCACAGAGGAAAACTTCCTGCTTTGCTTCAGAGAGTTTGTGGGATCCAGTTCTGAATTCATGGCGGTAAGTGGTGAAAATAGATGGTTTGAGTATTAAGAATGTGAAGACTGGTACAGGCTGTTTATGTGTGTTGGTGGGATTGGAAAGACAGAGCTACTGTAATAAGGCAGAATGAAAAACAACAATTAGACACAGCAATTAGAACCAATAACAATCCAAATGTTGGATTCCTTGCCTGGCCCAAATCATATTACTGAATTGCACTGCAATTGCACTGCAAAAACGTATCATACTCTAAGGTTATTTTTCTCTGTCATATGTGTCCTCTGCCAAGGGGAAAGCCACAATCACTCACTCATAGAGCAGACAAAATTTCAGAGACACTTGACAGCTCTGTCAGATTAGTCCTCATACAGTGTGAATGGAGAGAGTTTGATTATCAGTAATAACAGGAGGGACCATCCAGTCACCCAATGCACACCTATTATGTCAAGGGCAGGAAAAATGAAATGAGAAAGAGAAAATGAATATTTTTAATCACCAGGTGTGGTAGGAAGGCTTTTAAAAGGATTGAATGAGGAAGTACAAACTTCTATTTTCAGAGTCATATATTATAGATGTGCTTCTGTAATTCTCCACAGACCTGGAGAGGGAGGGCATATATCTTTGATAAGAGCCCTTTCTGGAAACAGGGACAGCTGCTAGATTAAAACATTAATTAAAATACATTTCTACCTCCTTGCCCTCTCACAATGTGTGGGAGAACGGAATTGAAAATCTGGAAAGTATAATGAAAACCCTAGTGTGATTACAGGAAGAAAAAGCTAACAATTACCAGCCACATAAATTGGAAAAATGATCTCTGTCCCTCCAGAGAGTAATTAATGCATGTCACATGCAATCCAATTAATACAATCCAGTGTGAGTGGAGGAATGAGGTGGCTCTTTTAAAAAGTGATTGGTACTATTGTGGCAGCAAGTGATTGGCTGTGTGTAATTTTTGTTTCTTTTTCTAATGAGTGTGACTTTGTATTTGCATATATAGGCATGGCGACGATACGATACAGATCGCAGTGGGTACATTGAAGCTAATGAACTGAAGGTATGGTTTCTCACTTGTTAACGTTTTACTGCAGTGGGCTATATCAGGGTCACAGAGTGTTTCTTAAACACATCTACTTTGAAACCAAAATATACACCTCACACACATGGTTATGGGCTTAAAAAAAAGAAGACACCTGTACCATGTATGATACAGAGTTGAAATGTATTCAATGGGAAAAGGACATCCCAGCTGGCCAAACCCTCCCCTAACCCGGATGACGCTGGGCCAATTGTGCGCCGCCTCATTGGTCTCCCGGTTGCGGCCGGCTGCGACACAGCCTGGGATCGAACCGGGGTCTGTAGGGAGATGCAGTGCCTTAGACCGCTGCGCCACTCGGGAGGCCATAGTTGTTGTGTTGATGCAGTGAGGCAAATGGGGACAATGCAAATTCCTCTCTTAACGGCTGTCAGACGAGGACACTATACAAATCATGACTTGTAATACCACCCATTATGCTATTGTCTGAAACTCTAATTCATTTCTAAAGCATTTTCTGCTCTTATCTGCAGGGTCTTACTGTAACACAAGCTGGTAGTGATAGATAGAATGACCCTTTCTGTCAATAAAGGATCTGAGAATGTATGTGATACTTCCAACTCTATGTAAGCCAATACTTACATGACTGACGGAAAGCAATAACTGGGGCCTCTGGGCTAAAGTATAGACAAGCCAGGCTCGCTAAGGTCATAGGATTGTTTTTGACCTATTAGTCGATTATAGTTTATTCACATTTCTCCACTCCACAGGGATTCCTCTCAGACCTGCTGAAGAAAGCTAACAGACACTACGATGACCAGAAGCTTCACGAGTACACACAGACAATAGTGAGTCTTTTCAGTCTAAATTAATCCCTTCCTGTATTGTGCCCAAACCCTTCCTCACATACTTATCTGAGAAGTAACCAACATCCTGCACCACAGAGGGTTCTACATGCAACCCAAAAGGGTTCTACGTGGAACCCAAAAGGGTTCTATGTGGAGCCAAAAAGGGTTCTACCTGGAACCAAAAAGGGTTCTCCTATGGGGACAGCTGCAGAACCCTTTTGGAACCCTTTTTTCTAAGAGTGCACTGTATGTATCTTTTGTCCTGTCATGCTGGTGGCTGCCATGTGGTTGAGTGGTTGGGAGTGGGACTCACAATGTCCTATGGGTTGTGTGTTCCTACAGCAGATGTGCAAACATCTGTTTCAACCTCAAGGCCTAAAGCTTGACCTGAATTACTCTGGGGAGAGAACCCATCTTTATTGTTCAGTCTTAGAGTTGACTAGCAACTTTTATGTACAACAGACTGACAGTGTTGCATGGTAAATAATAATACATGTGTGATGAGCCAAACTTGCTGTCACAACTGGTGAAGGCCCCTTGCTTTAATGTCTCTCTCTCTCTCTCTCTCTCTCTCTCTCTCTCTCTCTCTCTCTCTCTCTCTCTCTCTCTCTCTCTCTCTCTCTCTCTCTCTCTCTCTCTCTCTCTCTCGCTCTCTCTCTCTCTCTCTCTCGCTTTCTGTAGCTCAAGATGTTTGATCTAAACGGAGATGGGAAGCTGGGCCTGTCCGAAATGGCGAGGTGACTGTCAGCAACTGAGAATAAATGTTTATATTTCATGTGTGCCTTCAGCATCCAACACTCCTAACAAGTTTTTTCATGGAAATAATGTTATGTTCTCTGTTCTTCTCTTTTAAGGCTTCTCCCAGTTCAGGAAAATTTCTTACTGAAATTCCAGGTGAGGAGGGTGCAAGAGGAACTGATAATCCCTCCAAACAAATTTCATTTTCACAGTAATTTGGGCTAATAACATACCAGCAACATGATAATTAGATATTTCAGAACACAATCATTAATTTGCTATCTAATTTAGTAACATGATCCTGCTCTGTTACAATATGTTTTTATTTCCAAATGTGTTTTACAGGGTATCAAGCTGACCTCTGAGCAGTTCAACGCTATCTTCACATTCTACGACAAGGTACATTTTGATATGTGATTGGATATTCTAAAAGGATACAGTTTGCTATAGAGGTATTTAACCTTCAATCAGGCTTGGTGGATGACTGAGTTGTTTGTATGACTGATTTCCCTCTCTGTTGTGAAAACAAATAAGCTTGATTGGTACACCTGCTGTTCATGTTTGAGTGTTGGTTGAACATGTTTGCCATTTGTGGCTGGGGATGTCAGATTTCAGGAACAAACTTCTGTTGTGGAATGTAGTAATGTCTTGGAATAATAGCATTACATCTGGCTTGGCATGTAGTCAATAGAGAGCTGACTTCAAACAAGTAAACCGCCAACTCATATTACTTGTGTGTTGTTGATACCCCTAGAAGGATGAATTGATTGAGATATATGGACTATTTGATTTGGCATTATTCAAAACCTGCACTGTATCTCTACCAATTTCTTGTCGTCATTGCTTTGTATAGTGACACATATTTAATTACATATACATTATTCTCTATTGAATTACAGTATGTTGCTACATTTTCCAACAAGAGAATGCATTATTCTCTATTGAGGGTTACATTTGATGTACAACATTTTCACAATATTGTAACTAACAATCCCTAAGACAACTATTACATCCGGAGGGCTTCAAATAGCTCACAGACTCGCTGAGTGAGAGGTTAGAGCCTGTGTCTTAAGTTTAACAAATATTTGCATGCCTATGTCTGGACTAGAGGCTTGCTGAGAGGACTGGGGCAGACACTCAATTATAAATGAAACAGTGTCTGTGTACACATGATATGTGTTAAACATTTATGTGCATAATTATTTCAGCGTTTGTTTCAACCTCCCCCTGCAGCTGAATCACTAGCAGCTGCTGTCACTGCTATGGAATTATTGGTAAAAAGAAGCACACCAGGTCAACTGAACACTAACATGGCTACAGTGCCAAAATGTAAATGTGCAGAGCTTTGAAAAAGACAACATTTTTGACAGCAAGCCTGTTTCCTCCGCCTTCCCAAAGAAACACCCCACCACTGTATCTTCAGTACCATGGCCCTTCCTCTCCACATTTCAAGTTATTGCTCTCGAGCAGCCATATACAGTACATATTTTGGATTCATGAGTGACATGTCAAGGGACGTGTACTTTTTAAAACTTCCATTGAAAGCAGGGAATTAAGAAAGGTTCTAATGCAGGCTTATGATACGTTACCCCTCTTTCTTCCAGGATGGAAACGGCTACATTGATGAGCAGGAGCTTGATGCTCTGTTGCGTGACCTCTATGAAAAGAACAAAAAGGTGAGATAATATTGAAGAATTGGAGTTTAACTCTCAATTCCCCATAATGTTGAATCTCTCATTCTAATGCATCATTACAGAAGCACCTGTATGGATAAGGGTGTCTTGTCTTCTCTAATCTTCTCTCAGGAGGTGGATACCAAAAACCTGACTGGCTACAAGAAGAGCATCATGGCCCTGTCGGACGGGGGCAAGTTGTACCGCTCAGAGCTGGAGATTGTGCTCTGCAGGGAGCCCATGTTGTGAACCCTGACAACCATCGCTGTCTGTTTTTTGACCTTCATGACCCTATCTGCCCATCCCCAGATCACACCCACCTCCAACTGCCTGACGACTGTAACCAGGTGCATGTGCCGGGCATTCCCTTCATGAGTTTTGAATGAATGTGCACTGAGAAGCATAAAGCAGCTCTCCCTCATGACCCCTGTCCCCACTCGTCCCTGAAGACTGACCCAGCTCTGACGTTGCCTTCGGCTCAATCCCTAAACTCTACATTTAACTAAATGAATAAAGATAATAAAGGTACTTCTGCTAATTATGATTGCAATGTGAACAGGAGTGGAATGAAATTGTCAGTTGGTAGAGCATGGCGCTTGCAACGCCAAGGTTGTGGGTTTGATTCCCACGGGGGGCCAGTATGAAAAATAAATAAAATGTATGTATGTACTAACTAACTAACTAACTGTAAGTCGCTCTGGATAAGAGCGTCTGCTAAATGACTAAAATGTAAAATATGATACGATTATTTATTCTGAATGCTTGGTTTGACTTTCCTCCTCTCTTTTTTCTCCCGTATCCACCTTTTTAATGGGACTTGCGACAGCAAACGTCCCACTCTAAATCTTTGTCATACTTCTGACTTTTTATTAATGGGACTTGCGTAATGGGACTTGCGATAGCAAACGTCCCACTTTAAATCTTCTAAGAATTATTTCTAACTTATAGTTATTATTGGGCTCCCGAGTGGCGCAGTGGTCTAAGGCACTGCATCTCAGTGCTTGAGGCATCACTACAGACACCCTGGTTCGATTCCAGGCTGTATCACAACCGGCCGTGATTGGGAGTCCCGTAGGGCGGCGCACAATTGGCCCAGTGTCGTCTGGGTTTGGCCGGTGTAGGACGTCATTGTAAATAACAATTTGTTCTTAACTGACTTGCCTAGTAAAATACATTATTTAGAACACTACTACTCTTACACCGTTTAAGATAGAAACTTTAAAATGTGTAGACCGGTCTGGAATAGTGTGCTGTTATACAACTTTTTGATAACATTTATACTTTTTTCAACTATTAAGCTTTTTGTTTTTGTTTTCATCCTCCATCAACTTTCAAGGATTTTCCTCAACATTCTAAAGGGGCCCATTGTGACATAATGACACCAATGTTCTATAGGTCGTTATCAATACAACATCACAATACGGTGCAGCGCTTTCAATTTGCCTGCTGGGGGGCAAGGAGACCCCCAGCTCCGCTAAAACCATTGACAACTGCGTGCCGTTTTCAAGGGATAATTGTTATAAGTATTTGGTTTTAATATCATCTTCTCTTGAAGAGCATAGTCAGAACTACACATTTCCGATTATTCCACATTAAGCTGCATCATCAGAGTTATAGAGCAAGTAACTGCATGCTTTTCATGATCAGTAAACATCAATTGATCATATATGTTCAGATACATGAGGGTAGCCTATCCATTTGGCATGTAGCTAGCTAGCTAAGCAAACAACGTGTAATTTAGCTTGCTTCCTCAGAGATTAGGCTTTTGGAAAGAGCTTGAGATCGGCAAGTCCTCGTCGTGGTAAAGTTGTCAGTTGGACTACTGTCATCACCACTATAGATGGCAAGCAAATCAAACAATATTTGGATATAGCCATCTTGTTTATCCCCTGAAAGTTAACTCGTTAACTAGCCATGTTGATGTGATGTGTTATTAGCTAGCTAACCAATTTGACGTGGTCCATCAGTCAATGTAGCCTAACATGTCTGTCAGCAGCAATCGTGATTAAACATTTTTAAAAACAATGTTGAAAAGGGGATAACATTAGCTAACTTCGCTAGGTAGGACTATGTTGGTTGGAGAAAAAAGTACATTAGGTGCACTTACCACTATGTTTAGCCAACTGTACAACATTTCTACCAGTACGATAGCTTGCAAAGTAAACATTATCAGCTAACAGTACATCGGCAAATGCGCCCTTCTGCTGCTTGACAGGCAGATCCCACAAAGGAAGGGAAATTAACCTAAACCACTCATACTTGTCAAGTATAGTTCACTTTTATTTTTTAAAACTCAAATATCCAATTAATGGTGGCCAATATTGAAAGATATCATGAGGCTACCCTCACATATCTGAAATTACATGATCACTTGATGTTTACTGATCATGAAAAGGATGCAGTTACTTGCTGTATAACTCAGATGAAAATATGCGTAATTGTTTTGCATGGAATAATCGGCAATGTGTAGTTCTGACTATGCTCTTCCTCAGCAGGAAAAATGAACGCTCTGCACCTTATTGTGACGTTTTATTGATAAAGACCTATTCTATTCACCATAAAACAATGTCACTTTTGACACAAATCAGCTACTCTGACCACTTTCCCAACAAATTAGAAAAAAGATCTAAGTCTGCTTCTCTGCTATTCAAATCTGAAATTAGAACAGAATGATATTCTACCAATCAATCAGTACAGCTGTTTTAGTAATTGCATTCCCAACAAGTTAGACAAAAACGAAGAGCGTATGAAATCTTCCTCTAATTCTCTGCTTTTCATACCTGAAATCAGAAAAGAAATAGCTTCTACCAATCATGAGGTAAAGCTGTTTTAGTAATCACATCAACTGCTTTCATTAAAGGAAAATTCCACTCAAAACTATATTTTTGTATTTGTTTCTTTAGTCCACTGTTGATACAGTCCCAAAATGTTTTGCATATCAGCAATCAAGTTTTGAAGATATAGAACATTAAAAATACATAAAGTGTATGTATGATGTGTTTTATCATACTGTGACACTTTCTGTATTTTGAAAGTTCTTTATCTTGAAAACTTGATTGCTGACATGCAAAAAAAATGAGACTGTATCAACAGTGGACTAATTAAACAAATACCAAAATGTATTTTTGAGTGGTATTTTCCTTTCAGCTAACTTCCCACTGTCATGTAACTTCGTTGGTGAAAGTTCCCTGGTTACCACAGCAACATATGGTCTCACTGAGCATTAATAGCCCTGTTTACTTAGTCTGTTTGAAGTGTCAGAATTATAATTTTCTACAGGTAAGAAGTCACAAACACATTAAGGTACACACACACCAGTACACACACACTCCTTCCATTGTCATAGTTTAAAGGCACTGAACCGATCATCGTCTGTGGCGACTTCAACAAGGATCTGCTATCCAGGTCAAGCAAGCCCATCTTGGCATTGTTTCACGATAGAGGGTATGCACAGTTGATACAAGCTGCTACCACAGAAAATAATTCCCTGCTGAATCCAGTGTTAATTTCTCAACCACAACGTTGCCTCCATTCAGGTGTGCTGCAGACGTACTACAGCTATCACAACCCAATGTACTGCATTTTCACTTCAGACATCTCTCAGGTATGAATCTTGACCAAAACATTGATATCACATTTCACTGCTTGCATTAGTTCTTCCTTCATGTTAGTGTAAAAAAAACAAAAGTCAAAATACGTTGTGAAAGCAGAATAAATGTTTAACTGTCTACATGCTCATGGTAAAACAACTAAACTACAATTGCATTTCAAATAATGAATCTCAGATGTATGCTATGCTCAGTTAACTTGTGTGTCCCCCCTGGGGGCAGAGGGGTTCTGAATGAAGGCGTTCCCCCTTTCCGGCCAGTGGGTCCCTCTTCCCACTGACCCTCCTCCAGCCCAGAGAGGACTTAATGAACATCCTGCTGTCGTCCAAATAAGTTGTGAAAAAATAGTTATTTTTTATTTAAAACTTCAACAATGCCTCATTGTCTTCTGTAATCTGTTATTACAGTTGTCATATACTGTGGTATTCTAGTAGGAGAGTGTATAAAAGTGTAGTAGTCTGGATGTAGTGATTTCTGATGAAATGTGTGATCTAACTGCTCCACAATCCAAAGTAATAAGGTTGATAAAGTAGTCTATCAAAGTAAGCAGACCAATTATTTTACAAAATTTAACTTTGACCATATTTAACTGCTTCGCTTAATTAAAATGTTTTAAACTTCTTCCACTACCACAAAAACACTTTTAAAGAGTTAAAGCAAGTCCCACAAGTTTTCTTCATGGAAAATTACCATCTAGTTCATTTATGTATTTGATCTGGTGTTTCATCCTTATATTTTTATCCTGTTACATTTAGATTTTTTATGTTGCGTTTTCTGGCTAATATTGTTATAATGAGGATGTTATAGAAATCATTAATAAAATATATCTTACGATTAAGATTCTCTCATTTTTACTAGGTATTTTTACTGGGTGGAGAATGGGTAGCAAATAAGGAGAGCCCTACTGTCATTACGAGATATCTGGGAGGTACTGCAACCACACACAGAAACACTCACACATTTTTTATAATTACAAGAGAATACCTAGCCTGGTTGTAGTCTCTGTTCAGGTATTACTTTTACAATCCTTGGCACTCCGGTTTTTGGCAAATGACAAGAGTGGCAAGGAGTGGAATGTTAGCTAAAAAGACTGGTACCTGTATCAATTCCTAAATTTCCTCTATGGGTATTTCTGAAGCACGACTTCATATTTCTAGTAAAATCCCCTCTAATTGTGTGCAGATGCTTTTAAAACAAGCTTAATAATTCAGCAGTCAAACTTCCCTCTCTCACAGCAGAGCTTGTAGAAATTCCTATCAATTAATCATCACTATTTAAATCTTTCATTGAAAGCCAAGTTTTGCAGGAAAATACTGTTTTTTTTTAATCCAATGTGCAATGCACAGAGATTATCATTTGTGTTTGTAGTAATTTCTATGAGATACTGATTAACAAACCATATTAGTGTACTGTAAATTTTAGTCAGAGTGCTACCTCAATTTACTATCGGTCTCCTTTGCAAAGAGGTTTTCCAAATTCATGAAGACCAGGTTTATGTCCATATAGGTTTCACATATAAGGATGTCAATGAAAAGAGTGAACAAAAGTAACGATCTATGATACAATATTATTGTATGCTATTACTGTATGTTAAAATATCATTAAGAATCAGATAGACATGTTTTAGCTTTTTGAATCTGCAATCACCATCCTTATCTTAACTAATAACTGACATTATGACTAGATATCAGACACATGCAGAGGAGAACAAGAGAGAACAGCTTCATATATAATGATAACTCTAATTATTTAAACATATACTGTATGAAAGGAAACCTGGTGTTTTATTAATGTACTCTTTAAATATAGCTCATGTGAATTAAATAACTCATCGAATGGATGTCCATGCACAGTATATCCACTGAGTACCACACACACAAACACCAATACACACTCTGGTGACTAAGACATAAATACTGAGCCTGTTTACAAATTAGCCTTTTTACTGTACAATATACTACAAAATAATATATATCTGCACCACAGGAGGCTGCTGAGGGGAGAACTTATCATAGTAATGGCTGGAATGGAGTCAATGGAATGGTATTAAACACATGGAAACCATGTGTTTGATGTGTTCGATACCATTCCATTGATTCCATTCCAGCCATTACTATGGGCCCGTCCTCGCCAATTAAGGTGCCACCGGCCGCCTGTGATCTGCACATGGATGGTCCTGTGAGTAAAACAAACAAGTTTGAAAAGCTTCATCTCAAGATGGTTTAAATAATGAAATATGTACATATGTAGAGGGAAGGGGCAAGCTGATAGACAAATGTAGACAATGCCCAATTAAAACAAAACCATATTGGGAACATTTTGAGGCCTGGCCCATTTCCAGTGATAATCACTGAACCAGCACAGGACAACTAACACACTGTAAATTAAGTCAATCATTTTGTCTAACACTGCCAACATGCCATCAGCACATGACAGAGGCATTTCTAAGCATCCGACTGCATCTTTGATAATTGCACACAGGCAATCCATCTTTATCCTAAGGGGCTATGCTCCCACAAACCCATAATGCATTGTAATACATTTGCTATGGACTTAGGCCATCCCAACACATAGCTGCTTGTGTGGTGATATACAAGATCCAAAATAATAATGTTGACCTACAAAGGCAATACGGAAATCCAATAATACAACAGGATAGTCTATATTCTCTCAACTTCGATTATGTTTACAGATTCATTGTGGTATCAGAGCTTTTCCACAACTATTCCTACTAAGATCCATTCCATTTTCCACACAGATTATAGATGACAATATTAAAATAGCCTTTCCAACAGATTTGCTGTTTCAATCTGAGAGGAGAGGGAGACTAATATGGAAGCAGACAGGAGAGGAAGTCATGTGGGTGATGGTGAGCTAGAAATACAGGATGGGGGAAGAAAGGGAGAGGCTTCTCAGAGATAGAGGTACACTTACTCTTGCTTCACTAACCCTAACTCACACCTCACTTTTGCTATACACAGCGGAATGCATTCATTCCTTCCTGCATGAAAATTTAATCTGCAATGTCATCACTCAGTCATAGAAAAAGCCCTCCGAACATCTCTCCCTTGAATTGAGGGAATCTCTACATTTATTGCATTTACAAACATTCACACACATCTATTTCACCGTTATAATCTATGGACTAATATTGCGTCTAATATTCTAGATCATAAGGATACATTTTTTGTAAAATGGAGTGATAAAGCCCTGAAAGACACTGCAAAGAGTGGACATGGTAAGCTACAGTAATAATTTGCATGCATTGGTAGAAACCTTATTTTTCAATGGTAACACTTATAGTCAATGCAACCAACAAATAAAGCATTCCAGGTAAAGTTGTGTATGCTTGACTGCCATTGGGGTTGTGCTCTGTATAACCTAATCGATCTTTGAATGTGAGAGATTTAATGACAATAAAGAGCTGATTATCAACTTATTTAAGATGTCAACATTTAAAGTAAGTACACTGGGTGGGCTGATAAATAATAAATACAATAGCATTACAAACCCCTATTGAAATATTCTGAAAAGAGACCTTGTTTTTGATAAACCACTATGATGCTGTATAGCCACCAAATGGCCAATACTGTGTATTACATGCTACTCCCAAACCTGCAGTGCACTCAAAAAGACTGAACTCTGATTGGTTACGCTGCAGGCGGTAATGCACCATAACGTTGGATGCCAACCGCCGATTAACCCCACTGAAGAAGAAGAAGAAGAGGTTGCGCTGCTGAGCACTGGTGGTGTGCTGCAATTTACAGCTGATCTAGCTAGTACAGTGTGTGGGAACTCAGGAAACCGTTTTCCGTGCGTGTTGTCTTGAGTACCAGCAATGGCCTTGTTGAAATCTAGCAAGATAATTTCTACCGTCGGGGTTCACCCTCCATTGGGTGTACTCTCCATTCGTGCCAGGTAAATTGTACTCCGAGAGTACTGCTTTATTGTTGTTTTATTGACTAGTCGGCTAGTTAATGTTAGCTAGCTAGCTCAGTTAGCTGACAGCCATAGACAACTTGTGCAGAGCTAGCTAGCAGACGAACGACCCTTTGACTTTCCCCTCAAAGGGAGCAGGCTTGCTTGCTAGCTAGCTCAAGACAAATGGACAGCTAGCATGTTAGTTAACTGTTTTTCACAGCCATGTCCAGGTAATTAGCAAAGTAGCCAATGATGTGACGTTAGTTAGCGGATTTCATAGGCCTTGTGAGGCTGGTTGGCTATTTGCAACCTCGCCACACAAACCAAGGTTGTTCAGTAGCTAGCTGGCAAGCTAACTAGGATCCAACGATGTGTTTTGGCAGCTAACTGGTTACCTGATAGCCACAGCTAGCTACATTTTTTTTTTTTTTTATGTTGGAGGAGTTGAAACAGCTTTGTTAGCTTGCTACACACTAAAGTCAAAGATTTATCTGACAGTGCTAAAGTCACAAAACACTAACTAGTTAGTTTGTATTATGTAGCTACAAGCTAGCTGGCTGGGCATGTAGTGCTTTCTCCCCTCCACATGACTGGTCAAGCATGTTTCATTACTGTACTACTGCTGACCACTGAAAGAAAGCTAGGCCCATCAAAATGTAGTCATTGATGCAATAAATGATGTATGCCTATGGACAGAATGTCATCCTTGCAACATTAGTGGTTGGTTGTTGATGCTGCACACAGGTTATCCAGCATTCCTCTGTGTGAAAGCAGACTTTAGCTTAATCAACTTCAGACTGTTAGGAGATTACCACCACCTAATTTGGATCAAATCCTACTTAGTGCAAAGGTATCAGACTACTTAATTGGGTGTAAATTGAGTCGATGCAAGTCTGTGATTTACCGGCTCTATCTTCTACGGGGTGATTCAATCTACCTCCCCGACTGTTTCAGCTCATGGTGGTCCGAGGTGCAGATGGGTCCCCCTGACCCCATCCTGGGGGTGTCGGAGGCCTACAAGCGTGACACCAACCCTAAGAAGATGAACCTGGGTGTAGGAGCATACCGTGATGACCAGGGCAAGCCATATGTCCTCAGCTGTGTTCGCAAGGTGTGTTCAATCACTGCTAGATGATTATGATGATAATGAATCATTATATACCTCATAACTTGATAAACTAACAACTTTTACGAGAGACTAGAAGTTAAAAAGACGTCAGCCTAGCTGCCTACAATCGCTTTGACACCGAGAACAACAGACTTAACTAAAAACCTTGGCTTGACTTTGACCCTCTGTATTCTTAGGCTGAAGCTCAGATTGCTGCAAAGAAGCTGGACAAAGAATACCTGGCTATTGGCGGTCTGGGGGACTTTACCAAGGCATGCGCCAAGCTGGCTTTGGGAGACGACAATGAGGTCATCAAGAGTGGCAGGGTAAGTCGAGCTTTTCCTGGAACCTCAGACATCCTGATTCTACAGCACAGCTTTAGAAGCCTTATTTTGACAGTTTGTTGTTTATTCCCTGTTCACAGAACATCACTGTCCAAACTATTTCTGGAACTGGGTCCTTGAGAATTGGAGCCAACTTCCTGGTAAGAGCCCTGATCCTTTTGCTTTTTTACAGATCTAACCATCATCATGAAGGCTTATGAATGACGGTCTCTTCTTTTCCCTAATTTCTTTGTTCCTGCACCCCTCCCTTAGTCCCGTTTCCATACAGAGGCCCGGGATGTGTACCTGCCCAAGCCCTCCTGGGGGAACCATACACCTATCTTCAGAGACGCTGGGATGCAACTGAAGGCCTACACCTACTATGACCCAAAGACCTGTGGCTTTGACTTCCAGGGAGCCCTGAATGACATCTCTGTAAGACATGGCACAGAAGCCTAATCTCCCCCTACCAATGTGTATACATTGTACTCCCCCTATCAATGTGTACTTCAAGTAGCTGCTGGGATCAACAAATGTGTTATTGTTTCCTCTTATTCAGAAAATCCCTGAGAAAAGTGTCATCATGCTTCATGCCTGTGCCCACAACCCCACAGGAGTGGACCCTCGGCCAGAGCAGTGGAAGGAGATTGCTAACCTGGTGAAGGTAAACACAGCTAAATATAAAGTGCTGTAGTAGGGTCGTTCCACGAAATGAGTGCCTTTTGCGTCGCTTTGATATTTTAGGTAGAAAGTGTGCACAACATTTTTAAAAGCCTGTTAAATTAAATGAAGTGCCCTTTAATATAGACCATATGAACAATTCTATAAATCAGATTTGTTATATGAATAAAGACTTGCTAAAGTGCCAAAAACCAGAGTTTTGACATGTCCCTATGTGCACCCTCGGTGACTTCTAGGAAGATTTTAACCCAAGATTTCATGTGAAACTTGTCCCTCATTTTAAGGTCAACCCTGTTACGTGAACTGAACTCTCGTTTTAATATGGTAAAACTATTCCTTTAAAAAATTGTTTTAAAATAAACATTGAACATCTAATAGTCAAATCATAGTGTAAAAGCAGGTGAGCTGGTTCTACTATTTTTTGGGCAATTTTCTGGTGTTTTGTGGAGGAAAACTGAGCGGGTGGAGTATAACACGTCAACCATGTTACCCATAGATAGACAGGCTAGAAATGTTTTAACAATAATCTCTGTTGCACACAACAAGCTTCCATTCCCCCTGTCACAAGGGGATTTATGGCTGATTTGAAGATGAAATCGTCAACCCTGTTACGGTCAACGCTGTTACTGTACAGGTTTTTTTCTGGATCAAAAAAGGGGCTTAGGTGGTGGGCATGGCAATGGGTGCGGCCGGCCCGTTGGCGCGGCTGAATTTTAGAGAACATTTTAGAGGCCCCCCATCTTGGTTGTAGAATATTTAGCATTTTTAAAGCACATTTCCTGTAATTCTATTCATTTTGCTATGGCTATTGCTGTGTTCTTTTGCTTAAACATAAAACAAAATCAATACGGCTAAATTAATTGTTTTGGGAATTTTCCATTCTCCCTGACTGTGTTACTTGAGCTTTTATTTTGGTGACACTTAGTTCTCAAAGATTATATTATTTAAAAAATATATATAGGTAATTATTTTCTACATTATATCTGGTTTTAGTCGTTTAAGTTTACACTGGTGGTATTCAAGTGGTGGAACGACCCAGTAGCCCTATGAAACCTAATTCGATCCACCAACCAGGCCAAAATACAGTGCCTTAAGAAAGTATTCATAACCCTTGACTTATTCCACATTTTGTTGTTAGACTGAATTTAAAATTGATTTAAATAAATAACATCTCACCCATCTACCCCATAACGACAAAGTGAAAACATGTTTTTAGAGGTATTTGCAAATTTATTGAAAATGAAATATGTCATTTACATAAGTATTCACACCCCTGAGTCAATACATGTTAGAATCACCTTTGGCATCGATTAGTGCTTTTTGAGATCGGTTTGATTATTTAAAAAATATTCACGGATTTTGATTATTTGGGTTGAATGCTGTAACACAATTAATAAAAGTTCCATGATGGTAGTGACTGCTCATTACAGCTAATCACTTAACCATAATTTATTCACTTTAATACAATATTTAATTGTGTAACATGTTTTTTAGAGGTATTTGAATCATCTGTATAGAGCTGCTGCATATGCTGTCTGGCAAAATCACTATTTTGTAGTTCTCCAAAGTAAATAAGGCATACATTTATGACTGCTGAATACCAACTATAAATCACTTAGATCATGTATTTTCAGGTAGAGCAAGGTTCGCACAAGGTGCTTAAAGTACTTTAATTTGGCACTCTGAAATTCAAGTACTGAAATACCTTGAAAATCAGACATTTTCTGAAGTTGGTACTTCAAAAATACTTGAATTAAAATGAGAGGAGAACAGAAAGTGATCAAATATATTAATATAAAAAATATTAGAAATGTATTGGTCTTAAGAATTAATTTCTAAGCAGACTACTAAGTTTTATTTCCTCACGTATTTCGTGCGCTGGTTGCCAGGCAAGCTCGCTCATTCCACCCACACTGCCACTCAGCCAGACAAGTACAGAACTGACTGATTCAGCGCCGCCAAACGTCACATCGATAGCTAAAATCCCGGGCAAATGTCGATTCAACCCTGCCTGCAGGATATTGATGTTTATGAATGGTTTTGCCAGACCCATCCAGGGATGTAGTAGAAGGTAAGCACCGTTTACGCACCTTTTTATTTGTGAAATAGCGTTCACTTGCCTTTTTATTTAGTTAATTATCGCTTACCCACTTATTATTGCGTTCCAAGCGTTGACCAACGCTCAGAAGGCTTCTTGATCTGAGTTCTAATCGGGCCTACCTCTGTGAACGAGTGGAATCATGAATGATTCATGTATGCTCGTTATGTTCCCTACTCCCCTGGATTTGCATACACCAGAGCAGTGTTTCACAATCCTGGTTCTGGGGGACCTAGATGTAAGGGTTTGTTTAGTCCCGTGTAGCTCAGTTGGTAGAGCATGGCGTTTGCAACGCCAGGGTTGTGGGTTCGTTTCCCACGGGGGACCAGTATGGGAAGAAAAAAAATGGATGCACTCACTAACTGTAAGTCGCTCTGGATAAGAGCGTCTGCTAATTGACTAAAATGTAATTAGCCTTTTTAGCAGTGCATTCACTCACCACTCTGTCCAACAGGAAACTCCACACACGACATAGGCCGAGAGGTGAAACAAACCTCAGCCCAGACCTACAGTGGCAAGTGGTAGATGCCGCTGACAGTGTGTGTGTGTGTGTGTGTATATATATACATACATACATACATACAGTGGGGAGAACAAGTATTTGATACACTACCGATTTTGCAGGTTTTCCTACTTACAAAGCATGTAGAGGTCTGTAATTTTTATCATAGGTACACTTCAACTGTGAGAGATGGAATCTAAAACAAAAATCCAGAAAATCACATTTGTATGATTTTTAAGTAATTAATTTGCATTTTATTGCATGACATAAGTATTTGATACATCAGAAAAGCAGAACTTAATATTTGGTACAGAAACCTTTGTTTGCAATTACAGAGATCATACGTTTCCTGTAGGTCTTAACCAGGTTTGCACACACTGCAACAGGGATTTTGGCCCACTCCTCCATACAGACCTTCTCCAGATCCTTCAGGTTTCGGGGCTGTCGCTGGGCAATACGGACTTTCAGCTCCCTCCAAAGATTTTCTATTGGGTTCAGGTCTGGAGACTGGCTAGGCCACTCCAGGACCTTGAGATGCTTCTTACGGAGCCACTCCTTAGTTGCCCTGGCTGTGTGTTTCGGGTCGTTGTCATGCTGGAAGACCCAGCCACGACCCATCTTCAATGCTCTTACTGAGGGAAGGAGGTTGTTGGCCAAGATCTCGCGATACATGGCCCCATCCATCCTCCCCTCAATACGGTGCAGTCGTCCTGTCCCCTTTGCAGAAAAGCATCCCCAAAGAATGATGTTTCCACCTCCATGCTTCACGGTTGGGATGGTGTTCTTGGGGTTGTACTCATCCTTCTTCTTCCTTCAAACACGGCGAGTGGAGTTTAGACCAAAAAGCTCTATTTTTGTCTCATCAGACCACATGACCTTCTCCCATTCCTCCTCTGGATCATCCAGATGGTCATTGGCAAACTTCAGACGGGCCTGGACATGCGCTGGCTTGAGCAGGGGGACCTTGCATGCGCTGCAGGATTTTAATCCATGACGGCATAGTGTGTTACTAATGGTTTTCTTTGAGACTGTGGTCCCAGCTCTCTTCAGGTCATTGACCAGGTCCTGCCGTGTAGTTCTGGGCTGATCCCTCACCTTCCTCATGATCATTGATGCCCCACGAGGTGAGATCTTGCATGGAGCCCCAGACCGAGGGTGATTGGCCGTCATCTTGAACTTCTTCCATTTTCTAATAATTGCGCCAACAGTTGTTGCCTTCTCACCAAGCTGCTTGCCTATTGTCCTGTAGCCCATCCCAGCCTTGTGCAGGTCTACAATTTTATCCCTGATGTCCTTACACAGCTCTCTGGTCTTGGCCATTGTGGAGAGGTTGGAGTCTGTTTGATGAGTGTGTGGACAGGTGTCTTTTATACAGGTAACGAGTTCAAACAGGTGCAGTTAATACAGGTAATGAGTGGAGAACAGGAGGGCTTCTTAAAGAAAAACTAACAGGTCTGTGAGAGCCGGAATTCTTACTGGTTGGTAGGTGATCAAATACTTGTGTCATGCAAATTAATTACTTAAAAATCATACAATGTGATTTTCTGGATTTTTGTTTTAGATTCCGTCTCTCACAGTTGAAGTGTACCTATGATAAAAATTACAGACCTCTACATGCTTTGTAAGTAGGAAAACCTGCAAAATCGGCAGTGTATCAAATACTTGTTCTCCCCACTGTGTATGTATGTATGTATGTGTGTATATATATATATATATATATATATATATATATATATATATATATATATATATATATATATATATATATATATATATATATATATATATATATATAATTTACTTTTGTCATTTAGCAGACGCTCTTATCCAGAGCGACTTAGTTAGTGAGTGCATAATCTTTTTTTCATACTGGCCCCGCGTGGGAATCTAACCCACAACCCTGTATGTATGTATGTACGTACATACATACATACATACAGTGAGGGAAAAATGTATTTGATCCCCTGCTGATTTTGTACGTTTGCCCACTGACAAAGAAATGATCAGTCTATATATTTGAACAGTGAGAGACAGAATAACAACAACAAAATCCAGAAAAACGTATGTCAAAACTGTTATAAATTGATTCGCATTTTAATGAGGGAAATAAGTATTTGACCCCCTCTCAATCAGAAAGATTTGTCTCCCAGGTGTCTTTTATACAGGTAACGAGCTGAGATTAGGAGCACACTCTTAAAGGGAGTGCTCCTAATCTCAGCTTGTTACCTGTATAAAAGACACCTGTCCACAGAAGCAATCAATCAATCAGATTCCAAACTCTCCACCATGGCCAAGACCAAAAAGCTCTCCAAGGATGTCAGGGACAAGATTGTAGACCTACACATGGCTGGAATGGGCTACAAGACCATCGCCAAGAAGCTTGGTGAGAAGGTGACAACAGTTGGTGCGATTATTCGCAAATGGAAGAAATACAAAAGAACTCTCCCTCGGCCTGGGGCTCCATGCAAGATCTCACCTCGTGGAGTTGCAATGATCATGAGAACGGTGAGGAATCAGCCCAGAACTACACGGGAGGATCTTGTCAATGATCTCAAGGCAGCTGGGACCATAGTCACCAAGAAAACAATTGGTAACGCACTACGCCGTGAAGGACTGAAATCCTGCAGCGCCCGCAAGGTCCCCCCTGCTCAAGAAAGCACATATACATGCCCGTCTGAAGTTTGCCAATGAACATCTGAATGATTCAGAGGAGAACTGGGTGAAAGTGTTGTGGTCAGATGAGACCAAAATGGAGCTCTTTGGCATCAACTCAACTCGCCGTGTTTGGAGGAGGAGGAATGCTGCCTATGACCCCAAGAACACCATCCCCACTGTCAAACATGGAGGTGGAAACATTATGCTTTGGGGGTGTTTTTCTGCTAAGGGGACAGGACAAGTTCACCGCATCAAAGGGACGGTGGACGGGGCCATGTACCGTCAAATCTTGGGTGAGAACCTCCTTCCCTCAGCCAGGGCATTGAAAATGGGTCGTGGATGGGTATTCCAGCATGACAATGACCCAAAACACACGGCCAAGGCAACAAAGGAGTGGTTCAAGAAGAAGCACATTAAGGTCCTGGAGTGGCCTAGCCAGTCTCCAGACCTTAATCCCATAGAAAATCTGTGGACGGAGCTGAAGGTTCGAGTTGCCAAACGTCAGCCTCGAAACCTTAATGACTTGGAGAAGATCTGCAAAGAGGAGTGGGACAAAATCCCTCCTGAGATGTGTGCAAACCTGGTGGCCAACTACAAGAAACGTCTGACCTCTGATTTGTCAAAAAGGGTTTTGCCACCAAGTACTAAGTCATGTTTTGCAGAGGGGTCAAATACTTATTTCCCTCATTAAAATGCAAATCAATTTATAACATTTTTGACATGCGTTTTTCTGGATTTTTTTTGTTATTCTGTCTCTCACTGTTCAAATAAACCTACCATTTAAAATTATAGACTGATCATTTCTTTGTCAGTTGGCAATTGTACAAAATCAGCAGGGGATCAAATACTTTTTTCCCTCACAGTAATTAATAACTTCACCATGCTCAAAGGGATATTCAGTGTTGTTTATTGTTTTATTTTTACCCCATCCACCAATAGGTGCCCTTCTTTGCGAGGCATTGGAAAACCTCCCTGGTCTTTGTGGTTGAATCTGTGTTTGAAATTCACTGATCGACTAAGGGACCTTACAGATAATTGTATGTGTGGGGTACAGAGATGAGGTAGTCATTCAGAAATCATGTTAAACACTATTATTGCGTCCTTGCAACTTATTATGTGACTTAAGCACATTTTTACTCCTGAACTTATTTATGCTTTCCATAACAAAGGGGTTGAATACTTATTGACTCAAGACATTTCAGCTTTTCATTTTTTATTAATTAGTAAAATGTGGGATATTGTGTTTAGGCCAGTGACACAATCTCAATTGAATCCATTTTAAATTCAAGCTGTAACACAACAAAATGTGGAAGAAGTCCAGGTGTGTGAATACTTTCTGAAGGCACTGTATATAACAAGTTCTCTCATAATTTCCTTTCTTCCAGAAAAGGAACCTCCTGGTGTTCTTTGACATGGCCTACCAGGGCTTTGCCAGTGGTGATATTGACCGTGATGCCTGGGCTGTCCGTTATTTCATTGAGCAAGGCCACAACATTGTGCTCTCTCAGTCCTTTGCTAAGAACATGGGTCTCTATGGTGAGTTATGATAATCGCACTGGTCATGTTTGAGGATAATGTTTTTGGGAAAACAAAATACCTTATTTATTTATTATTTAAGCTAAGCAACATGCCTTGTGTGGTGGTGTGTGATGTCCTCAGGTGAGCGTGTTGGGGGCTTCACTGTGGTGTGTAAGGATGCTGAGGAGGCCAAGCGTGTGGAGTCCCAGCTGAAGATCCTCATTCGGCCCATCTACTCCAACCCTCCCATGAACGGAGCGCGCATCGCTGCCACCATCCTCAATACACCAGACCTGTACAAAGAGTGGTGAGTAAGCGTCATCCACGAAGTGTCATATTTCAATTGTGCCTCATAGCCAATATGATATGGGCCCAGCTGAGTCATGGCTGTTCTCTTCCTAGGCTGGGGGAGGTGCATGGCATGGCCAACCGCATCATCACAATGAGGGAGCTGTTAGTGGCCAACCTGAAGAAGGAGGGCTCCACTCAGAACTGGCAGCACGTCATTGACCAAATTGGCATGTTCTGCTTCACAGGGCTGAAGCCTGAACAGGTAGAGTAACTGTGTGCTGATACTCTACACTGTCTCATAATATAGTATGTGATTTCCATTGGGTCACCTACTGGTAAGGAATCAATGGATGAAACATTGAACATGGCTATACTATAAGTATCTGTCTAGATATCAAATTCCTTAATATGCAGTTGATGAGTCATAATGAGTATAACTATTTCAACTTGTGCAGGTGGCGCGCCTCACGAAGGAATTCTCCGTCTACATGACAAAGGATGGGCGTATCTCCATGGCTGGTGTCACCTCTGGCAATGTGGGTTACCTTGCACAAGGTATCCATGTAGTGACCAAGTGAGATGGCTGACCAGGAGTCACACCGTAGTCCCCACCAGAGGACAGAGGGGTGGTAGCGTCAGACAAGAAAAACTAAACAACCTTTATGTAAATGAACCCTCTCCTCTGCTTTCCTTTAGGGAAAGACCCAAAAGTAATAAGATATACCATAGGGTTATTTTTGTTGGCATTTTCTGTTGGCATTGTCTAGATATTGTATGTTGGACCATCTGTGACTAGGTTTTTAATGTGGGTTCCCTGGAAAAATATCCATTACCCTCCCTCAGACATACATGCAGTGGTCATGAGCTCAAAATATATTGTCTAAGTCATACTTGACAATGAAAACTAACGAGCACAATATCACTGTTTGGAATCATGTCCTATAAGTCCTCTCACTTGGCTTGAGCATACCCTGTCTCTAAGAACTGTGCTCAACTATTGGGTGTGACATGGAACTCCAAAGTAATAATGATTAAGACATTTCTCTAGAAAATTATTTACTAAAGATACTGTCTCTCTTTCAGGTAATTTTATTGAAATGTGCGTCTAATTTATTAAGGATTAATTTACAAAACCTCTTTCAAAAAGGTGCTGCAAACCTTTGTTTCAACGTTATAATGCCAGTGGAACCTTTCTAGGTGATGGTACTGGAGTCATGGCACTTGTTTTATGTGGGACGATATGTGCTGCATGGAGTCACTGATTGTGATGATCAGCCAGCCACAATGTGTGCTAAGGATGTTATTTTGCTGTTGTAACTTATTGTAACGGATGAGCACTGTCTACCAATCAACAACTGCCACATCTCCCACTGATAATGTACCATGTAATTAAATATAACTATATTATATAAATCTATCTATGGGCTGTACACAGTATACTGTATGAACTGTTTTGACTCTCAATTAGCAGGAGCATGAAGGGTGTTTCGTTGCTTGCACATTGCTTTGTACTCCCATACCCCGTCATTTTCTTGACCATCATTGAAAGTCAAATGTAATGCACCTTAAGATGCCCTCTGACTTTTAAATGGTGTACATCACAGGCTGCTGGTGGCACCTTAATTGGTGAGGACGGGCTCATAGTAGTCACTGGAACGGAATAAATGGAATGATATTGAATGCAGCAAACACGTTTTCCATGTGTTTGATACCATTTCATTCACTCCATTCCAGCCATTATTATGAGCCGTTCTCCCCTTCAGCAGCCTCCTGTGGTGCACATTTCTGAGGGGCCATGGAAAGCACAGTTCAGGCGACCGGTAACACTTTCCCTCAAAGCCAAGCATTGGCTTGAAATTCAGAGTTATGGTTTTTACTTTGTGTTGTGAAAGAACAAGATTAATGGTGGGCTCCACCTTGTACATTATGGTATGCAGGGTCACAAATGTTCTAAAGCATGTCAGTAGAAGCTTTGAAAGGGTTTTCAATCACCTGCTCTGTTGAAGTTCCAGAACTCTGACACCATGTGGTCTCAGGAGTTAGAATTATTTTATTTTTGCACATTTGGTAGAGGCATCTGTTTCTGTTCCGAATAGACACTGATTTGAACTACTGTACCCCTGATCTTTTTCTGGCCAACATCACTATCCACTTCTGTTTCATGGATTCATTAAACTGAAGTTCATTTGAATGGTACTAATCTGATCATGATTATGTTTCTCAGAAGATGTTATTAATGTTAGACCAGTGTAAGTTATCACTGTAAAATAAAGATGGTTGCACAGTTTGTGTAAATGTCAGTTTCTTCATTTTCAGCAATGATTCAAGCGCAAAGTAAACTGTATTAGTGAGAAGGTAAACGTTTCTTACCACGGTCGGTCCGGCAAAAGGGAAAGGATAAGGCGCTTAAGGCCTAAGACTTTTTTTTTTTTTTTACTAGATGATTACTCACGTTAGGCTACATTTATTTTCCATTATGTGCTATATACGCCTACTATTGGTGTGGTTATTGCAACGAGATGCGCGTAAAATGGCTTACCATTAAATCTAAACCACTGCAGTAAATCGTTGTGTACTGTAGAGTCAGTAGTCACTACAGTGCATACGAAGAAATAGCCCAAAATAACTAATGACTTCTCATAATAACCACGAGTTGTGCTTTTAAACGTTAAAGATAACAGCACCCAGCGAGGCCTCGGTCTTCAAATAGTGGAAAGTCTGGTGATGCGAGCTCTTCTCCGGGTAAGATTATTGCCAGAAACCTAGCCCAAAGGCGGCAGATGGCGAAATTGAGTCGTTTTATTTTACCGACCAAAGCGAATGCCTGCAGCCGATTATACACTTCCCCGTGGACCAGTTCATACATAAAACAATCTCCATTCAGGATGCAAAGGTGTCGATTTCCTCCTTAACTCGATTTAATGGCAAGAAAGTGGAGAAAAATAACTGGAAAAATATGCTACTTTCTTTATGAAACACCATTTTCCACCACTATGCTAGAAATAACAATAACGCATATCATCTGTGTTGTCCATAATTGGTGGATTGACTGAAAAGGATCATGGTTAATTTCTACACTACACCTGGAAGCCACTACCCTGGTGATTTGGAATATCACCATGGATGATTTTATAAAGTTGATGGTTTGCACGTTTATGCTTTGACTATGCAAAGTTGAATGTACAGTGGGGGAAAAAAGTATTTAGTCAGCCACCAATTGTGCAAGTTCTCCCACTTAAAAAGATGAGAGAGACCTGTAATTTTCATCATAAGTACAAGTCAACTATGACAGACAAAATGAGAAGAAAAAAAATCCAGAAAATCACATTGTAGGATTTGTAATTAATTTATTTGAAATTATGGTGTAAAATTAGTATTTGGTCAATAACAAAAGTTTCTCAATACTTTGTTATATACCCTTTGTTGGCAATGACACAGGTCAAACATTTTCTGTAAGTCTTCACAAGGTTTTCACACACTGTTGCTGGTATTTTGGTCCATTCCTCCATGCAGATCTCCTCTAGAGCAGTGATGTTTTGGGGCTGTCGCTGGGCAACATGGACTTTCAACTCCCTCCAAAGATGGCTAGGCCACTCCAGGACCTTGAAATGCTTATTATGAAGCCACTCCTTCGTTGCCCGGGCGGTGTGTTTGGGATCATTGTCATGCTGAAAGACCCAGCCACGTTTCATCTTCAATGCCCTTGCTGATGGAAGGAGGTTTTCACTCAAAATCTCACGATACATGGCCCCATTCATTCTTTCCTTTACACGGATCAGTCGTCCTGGTCCCTTTGCAGAAAAACAGCCCCAAAGCATGATGTTTCCACCCCCATGCTTCACAGTAGGTATGGTGTTCTTTGGATGCAACTCAGCATTCTTTGTCCTCCAAACACGACGAGTTGAGTTTTTACCAAAAAGTTATATTTTGGTTTCATCTGACCATATGACATTCTCCCAATCCTCTTCTGGATCATCCAAATGCACTCTAGCAAACTTCAGACGGGCCTGGACATGTACTGGCTTAAGCAGGGGGACACGTCTGGCACTGCAGGATTTGAGTCCCTGGCGGCGTATTGTGTTACTGATGGTAGGCTTTGTTACTTTGGTCCCAGCTCTCTGCAGGTCATTCACTAGGTCCCCCCGTGTGGTACTGGGATATTTGCTCACCGTTCTTGTGATCATTTTGACCCCACGGGGTGAGATCTTGCGTGGAGCCCCAGATCGAGGGAGATTATCAGTGGTCTTGTATGTCTTCCATTTCCTAATAATTGCTCCCACAGTTGATTTCTTCAAACCAAGCTGCTTACCTATTGCAGATTCAGTCTTCCCAGCCTGGTGCAGGTCTACAATTTTGTTTCTGGTGTCCTTTGACAGCTCTTTGGTCTTGGCCATAGTGGAGTTTGGAGTGTGACTGTTTGAGGTTGTGGACAGGTGTCTTTTATACAGATAACAAGTTCAAACAGGTGCCATTAATACAGGTAACGAGTGGAGGACAGAGGAGCCTCTTAAAGAAGAAGTTACAGGTCTGTGAGAGCCAGAAATCTTGCTTGTTTGTAGGTGACCAAATACTTATTTTCCACCATAATTTGCAAATAAATTCATAAAAAAATCCTACAATGTGATTTTCTGGAGAAAAAAAATCTCAATTTGTCTGTCATAGTTGACGTGTACCTATGATGAAAATTACAGGCCTCTCTCATCTTTTTAAGTGGGAGAACTTGCACAATTGGTGGCTGACTAAATACTTTTTTTCCCCACTGTACTACCTAGATAGCAGTTTTACATTACAATTGCATCATGTAATGTTCTACACTGAACAAAAATATAAAGGCAACATGCAATAATTTCAAAGATTTTACTGAGTTACAGTTCATATAAGGACATCAGTTAATTGACATCAATTCATTAGGCCCTAGTCTATGGATTCCACATGACTGGGAACACAGATAAACATCTGTTGGTCACAGATACCTTTAAAAAAAAAAATGGTCTCAGAGCATTTCATATTCTGTACGTAAATCTGAGACACTCCGTTCAGTATGATATGTTATGTTTGGTATAGTTACATAAGAAAGGGGGGTGGATGGGTGGGTTGATAACGTGAACATCTCGCAACCCAAATGTTGTGAGTTTGAATCTCATCACGGACAACTTTAGCTAATTTTCAACTACTTACTACTTTTTAGCTAGTTTGCAACTACTAGGCATGTTAGCTAACCCTTCCCCTAACCATAACCTAAATTATTTTAGCTAACCCTTCACCTAACCCTAACCTTAACACTTTTAGCTAAAACTTCCCCTAACCCTAACCTTAGCCCTTTAACCTAACTCTTAAATGTAACCCTAACCCCTTGCACTAACCCCTAGCCTAGCTAACGTTAGCGAGCTAGCTAACGTTAGCCACCTAGCCACCTAGCTAGAATTCTTAACATATCATACGTTTGCAAAATCGTAACATATGGTATGTTTTGAAAATACGTGACATTTAATACGAATTGTAATTCGTAACATATAATATGAAATGGGTGATGGACCTCCACAAATTAATACATACCATACGAAACATAATATATCATATTAAATGGAGTGTCACGGATTTACATACAGAATAATACGAAATGCTCTGAGACCAGGTTGAAAAAAAGGTAGGGGCGTGGATCAGAAAACCTGTCAGTATCTGGTGTGACCACCATTTGCCTCATGCAGCGTGACACATCTCCTTCGCATAGAGTTGATCAGGCTGTTGATTATGGCCTGTGGAATGTTGTCCCACTCTTCTTCAATGGCTGTGCGAAGTTGCTGGATATTGGCGGGAACTGGAACACGTTGTCTTACACGTTGATCCAGAGCATCCCAAACATGCTCAATGGGTGACATGTCTGGTGAGTATGCAGGCCATGGAATAACTGGGACATATACAGCTTCCAGGAATTGTGTACAGATCCTTGTGACATGGGACCGTGCATTACCATGCTGAAACATGAGGTCATGGCGGCGGATGAATGGAATAACAATGGGCCTCAGGATCTCGTCACGGTATCTCTGTGCATTCAAATTGCCATCGATTAAATGCAATTGTGTTCATTGTCTGTAGCTTATGCCTGCTCATACCACAAGCCCACCGCCACCATGGGGCACTCTGTTCACAGCGTTGACATCAGCAAACTGCTCGCCCACATGACGCCATCTGCCCAGTACAGTTGAAACCAGGATTCATCCGTGAAGAGCACACTTCTCCAGCGTGCCAGTGGCCATCCAAGGTGAGCATTTGCCCACTGAAGTCGGTTATGACACTGAACAGCAGTCAGGTCAAGACCCTGGTGAGGACGATGAGCACGCAGATGAGCTTCCCTGAGGCGGTTTCTGACAGTTTGTGCAGAAATTCTTTGGTTGTGCAAACCCATCAGCTGTTCGGGTGGCTGATCGCAGATGATCCCGCAAGTGAAGAAGCCGGATGTGGAGGTCCTGGGCTGGCGTGGTTACATGTGGTCTGCAGTTCTGAGGCCGGTTGGACGTACTGCCAAATTCTCTAAAACAACGTTGGAGGCGGCTTATGGTAGAGAAATTAACATTACATTCTCTCGCAACAGCTCTGGTGGACATTCCTGCAGTCATTCCTGCAGTCAGCATGCCAATTGCACGCTCCCTCAAAGCATATTGTCCCCAGCACAAGGTGCACCTGTGTAATGATCATGCCGTTTAATCAGCTTCTTGATATGCCACACCTGTCAGGTGGATGGATTATCTTGGCAAAGGAGAAATGCTCACTAACAGGGATGTAAACAAATTTGTGCACAGAAGTTGAGAAAAATAAGCTTTTTTTTGCGTATGGAACATTTCTGGGAACTTTTATTTCAGCTCATGAAACATGGGACCAACACTTTACATGCTGTGTTTTTGTTCAGTATATGAGCTTAATTTGCTGTAACACTGATACTGTATGCCTAGCCTATGTTATTACAAAGAGACAAATTAATTGTACTGTAGGCCTATGTGCAACAGGTTGAAGTGGCAAGTATTAAAATAGTGGACAGTCTGTTTGTCTTTGAGAAAGCTGTTCTTATTTGTATTTATTAGGGATCCCTCTTCCTGAGGTCCAAACACATTAAGGTACTTACATTACATATAAAACAAAAGATAAAGCTTTGGTTAAGTAACTTCCCATGTGACTTTTTTGTAAACCACAAACTAAGAGGATTTTCAATTATAATAGCAGTGAATGATCCGGTTCTTCTTTATGTCATTATATAGAAATATCCCACTGTTAAGTCTGAAAGGGTGATGCATTTTACGGCTCTCTTTTCCAATTAAAAGCATTTTGGCGTTATTACAGAAAATAGTAATGGAAAGTATTTATTTGTACTACGTGTCTTTAGAAAATATAGTAAGTATCCTGGAAAATAACATTTATCCCCTGTGTTATCCCATATGACGCATAGTAGGAGTTTTTCTGATGTTAGATAAACCTGAAATACAAGTTGTGCACAAAAGTTTTTAGAAAATGAGGAACAAGGAAGTGGATATGATTAAAAACATTTTCATCTGTATGTTAGGAATGCTTTTGTTTGCTCTTTAGTTATCTCAGAGAGCTGCATGTCACTGCACAAAACAAACACTATTAAGAACTTTTCAGTTCAGAACTCAATTATGTATGATCACTCAAACATCCAAACACTATTAGGTGAATGCTGAAATAATTCAAGCCTGTTTTATTCGCTCACTATCTTATCATTCATCTGGCAGCTATTTGGGTACTGCATGTGATAAACCTTACCTAGCAGTGGCTTTGCAAATAGTGCTGGTGGAACAATGAGACATAGAGTAATCTGAAACCGTCTAGCCACAAATGTCAAGGCTGCTTGTGGAGGAAGTACAATAAGACGAGGCAGTCTTGGAACGTCATTAGAAACTAATCTGATCTGTTAAACCAGGTTGTGGATAGGCAGGTACTGTTTTGATCAGTGAGTCATTTTGCCAGAGGATGAATGTATGGTAATTGGAACACACAGGTGACAGTGAACGGAAAGGGACAGACGGATGACGTCATAAGGTATTAAGTCTTACTTTCTTACTTCACACATAATTGTAGTTCTATCAGATGATGTTTGCAAGTGTGTCACTGTATATTTGTATCTGCCAATTGTAAAGAATGGACAGAATAGAGTGATTAAGGATATGGGGTGACTTTATTGTTATATACAGTACTTGTACATTATGTGTAATAACATGTTATTGGGGAGCCAGATGACATGATAGATATCTTTAGTTTACCTATCTGATATAATTTATTATTATTATAATTTCCTTGTTATGACTGTTATGACAGAGTTGTTATACAGCAACACTAACTAAAGAATGTTATCTCTCTAAAATGTAAATGTACATTAATAATAAGATGGGAGAACATGGAAATGTTAAAGTCACAATGTTTTCCATAGATTAGATTTTAGTTTCATTTCCAGAAGGAGACCGTAGCCTAAAGTTTGTTACTGGATCTCATGGATGTTGTTTAACCATTGAGAATTGCACTCATTTTGCGTATAGGACACCAGGGTAAATATATTATTTGAATAGAACATTACAAGTGCTGAAATGATATGGCTTCCTGCAGGGTTTTACATGGCAGAGAGACATGCATTTCCTTCCCACTGTAGACCTGTCTATCGGGGACCTACGCATGCCCTTCAATGAAGAGGTTAAGTACTGTCTCCTGAGCATCTCTGTAACCCTCTTCCTGATTGCTATGGGCATTCTGGTGTGGCAATTATACCGTTACTGCTCACAGGCTCCAAAGGGACCTGGTAAGTTAACAAAAATTAATCTAAGTTATCAGTTGGTTGTTGGTCAAACCATATATGGGTCAAGCACCAATATACAGTAGAATTGGATGGAATAATAATTCAAGTACTGAACATTCTTTATCGTAAACTCCTACATTGTTTGGATAAGACTTTGGCTCATGAGCAGGAGACAAGTTGTTATGCTGCTTTAACTCTCTATTCAATGCAGTGGATGACTTACTTTCATCTGATGGCAAGCCAGCAAAGACAGGAGACTTCCACACAGAAACCCAGAGGCCTAATTTTAAGGTAAGAGCTCTCTATTACTTGTAACCATTAATTCCTTTGGTTACTCACAAGGAACGCTCTCCCATTTTGTCTTATGTCTACACTGAAATATGGAGCAACAAGCTTCTACTACGATGAATAGCTAACATTCTGTGTGTATCTTTGCAGTCATGCTGTTCTTGGATGCACGTAAATCAAACAGAGGGCTTATCTCAGTGAGCTGTGGTTTAGAGAGTTTTTCTCTTGGTGTTTGCCTACCATAGTCAGTTTTCACACATTTTAATATACAGTGAGAGATATCAGAGTTGACAAAAGTTACTAGGGTTAGTCATATGAATTAGCTTGGGGCTGTAGTATTTTTGTCAAATAACCCAACAGCCTACAACAACAAATGAATACAGCACATCTCAAAAACTCACTCTTAAACACACTGAAATAGACAGTATGACCATATCTGCTCCCCAGGTGGAGAAGCTCCATGAAGAGGCGCAGAGGTTGAGCCGTTGCCTGTCCATGGGCAGCCATGTGGAGCTGCCCAGCCTGGGGAACCAGCTGGAGGAGGAGGTGAAGGGCTCCCTGCGCTTCTCCCTCTACTATGACCAGCTGCAGTCCAGACTGGTGATCACCGTCCTGGAGGCCCTGGTCCTGCCGGTCAGGGACTTCAGCCGCAGTGTGGACCCCTTTGTGAGGGTTCGGCTGCTATGGGCCAGGCATGATGATGAGGAGGAGGAGAAGGGGGAGCAGTCCTCTCCTTCACTGAAGTGTGTGCTCCATGAGTGGCAGACCCATATGGTGAAGGACAACAGCAGCCCTACGTTTGGGGACCAGTTCTCGTGCTCTCTGGAGGAGGAGGATGTCCCTCACACCACCGTCAGGTTTGAGGTACATAACATGGTGTTAGATTGACTAGCTAATTAAATCAGATAACCTAAATATTTTCCTATTTTCTGCAGGTCAGAGACTTTGACAAGTTCTCCAGGCATGGGTTCCTGGGAGAGGTCAGAGTTTCTCTGTGCGATATGAACATCTCATACCCTCTTGAAGTTCTGGAGGATTTACAGACACCACAAAAGGTGGATGATACACTCTATCTGGACCTACACTCCCAACATATTTATTTGGACAGTTTATTTTGGCTCTATACTCCAGCATTTTGGATTTGAGATCAAATGTTTTTTATGAGGCGACAGTTTAGAATGTCATCTTCTATTTGAGGGTATTTTCATACATCACCGTTTAGAAATGAAAGCACTTCATGTATCTAGTCTCCACATTTTAAGTATTTGGCAAATTCACTTATAGTGTATTACATTTAGTCAAAGTTTAGTATTTGGGCCCATATTCCTAGCACACAATGACTACATCCCACTTGCGACTCTACAAACTTGTTGGATGCATTTTCAGTTTGTTTTGGTTGTGTTTCGGATTATGTTGTGCCCAATAGAAATGAATGGTAAATAATGTGTTGTGTCATTTTATCATTAGGAGAGGTTAGCTTTTTTAAAGGGATATGATATTTATGCCTCTGTAACTTTCTCACTCATCATTATTCACGATTAATTCATGATTATCCATAATCATGGTAGCATCCACATTAATGTAGAAGGGTTAAGACATATATTATATTCTTATTTACAATAAAAGTGACTCCAAAATGATGCAATAAATTATTAAGCATTCATTTCTATTGGGCACAACATAATCCGAAACACAAACAAACAAAAAACTGCAAATGCATCCAACAAGTTTGTAGAGTCACAAGTGTGATGTAGTCATTGTGTTCTAGGAATTTGGGACCAAATACTGAACTTTGACTAAATTGAATACACTATAAGTGAATTTGTCCAAATACATATGACATCTTCAGATGGGGGGACTAGATACATAATGTGCTTTCATTTCTAAACGATAAAACAGATATGTATGCAGAAACCCTCAAATACAGTGGGGAGAACAAGTATTTGATACACTGCTGATTTTGCAGATTTTCCTACTTACAAAGCATGTAGAGGTCTGTAATTTTTATCATAGGTACACTTCAACTGTGAGCGACGGAATCTAAAACAAAAATCCAGCAAATCACATTGTATGATTTTTAAGTAATTAATTTGCATTTTATTGCATGACATAAGTATTTGATACATCAGAAAAGCAGAACTTAATATTTGGTACAGAAACCTTTGTTTGCAATTACAGAGATCATACGTTTCCTGTAGGTCTTGACCAGGTTTGCACACACTGCAGCAGGGATTTTGGCCCACTCCTCCATACAGACCTTCTCCAGATCCTTCAGGTTTCGGGGCTGTCGCTGGGCAATACGGACTTTCAGCTCCCTCCAAAGATTTTCTATTGGGTACAGGTCTGGAGACTGGCTAGGCCACTCCAGGACCTTGAGATGCTTCTTACGGAGCCACTACTTAGTTGCCCTGGCTGTGTGTTTCGGGTCGTTGTCATGCTGGAAGACCCAGCCACGACCCATCTTCAATGCTCTCACTGAGGGAAGGAGGTTGTTGGCCAAGATCTCGCGATACATGGCCCCATCCATCCTCCCCTCAATACGGTGCAGTCGTCCTGTCCCCTTTGCAGAAAAGCATCCCCAAATAATGATGTTTCCACCTCCATGCTTCACGGTTGGGATGGTGTTCTTGGGGTTGTACTCATCCTTCTTCTTCCTCCAAACACGGCGAGTGGAGTTTAGACCAAAAAGCTCTATTTTTGTCTCATCAGACCACATGACCTTCTCCCATTCCTCCTCTGAATCATCCAGATGGTCATTGGCAAACTTCAGACGAGCCTGGACATGCGCTGGCTTGAACAGGGCGACCTTGCGTGCGCAGCAGGATTTTAATCCATGACGGCGTAGTGTGTTACTAATGGTTTTCTTTGAGACTGTGGTCCCAGCTCTCTTCAGGTCATTGACCAGGTCCTGCCGTGTAGTTCTGGGCTGATCCCTCACCTTCCTCATGATCATTGATGCCCCATGAGGTGAGATCTTGCATGGAGCCCCAGACCAAGGGTGATTGACCGTCATCTTGAACTTCTTCCATGTTCTAATAATTGCGCCAACAGTTGTTGCCTTCTCACCAAGCTGCTTGCCTATTGTCCTGTAGCCCATCCCAGCCTTGTGCAGGTCTACAATTGTATCCCTGATGTCCTTACACAGCTCTCTGGTCTTGGCCATTGTGGAGAGGTTGGAGTCTGTTTGATTGAGTGTGTGGACAGGTGTCTTTTATACAGGTAACGAGTTCAAACAGGTGCAGTTAATACAGGTAATGAGTGGAGAACAGGAGGGCTTCTGAAAGAAAAACTAACAGGTCTGTGAGAGCCGGAATTCTTACTGGTTGGTAGGTGATCAAATACTTATGTCATGCAATAAAATGCAAATGAATTACTTAAAAATCATACAATGGGATTTTCTGGATTTCTGTTTTAGATTCCGTCTCTCACAGTTGAAGTGTACCTATGATAAAAATTACAGACCTCTAGATGCTTTGTAAGTAGGAAAACCTGCAAAATCGGCAGTGTATCAAATACTTGTTCTCCCCACTGTAAAAGGTGACATTCTGTACTGTCGCCTCATATAAAACATTTGATCTCAAATACAAAATGCTGGAGTATAGAACCAAATTCTAACTTTTAGCTTCACTGTCCAAATAAATACGTAGGGGAGTGTATGTTCAAATTATATCAATCCTGTCTGTGTACTGTCATGACTTTAGTAATACAGTATTACCATTTCCAGGACATGGTTGGAGAGGTGCTTCTCTCTCTAAAGTACCTCCACACCCTCCAGAGGCTAGAGGTGGGTCTGCTGAAAATCAGGGCACTGCCTCAGCCAAGTAAAATAGACAAAGGTAAATGCCACTTTTCTTGTGGGATAAACTCATTGTTGAGCAGAAGTTGCATACTGTTGCGTTGTAGATACAGGTAGGATTGATTGGTGATTGTTTAAAAAAGTTACAATTTCATTGTTCTAGTTCAGTTGTATGCCAGGATCAGTGTCCTCTGTAACCAGTTCAAGCTGCGGCATCAGAAGTCCACTACTAAGACCCTGTGCGAAGTGACCGTCTTCAACGAAGTCATGATGTTCACACTGCCAGACCCACTGATCAGGGCGTGCTGCATTGTGGTCTCTGTGTACGAGATCCATGCAGCCAGGAAGTCATCCAAACGCCTGGTTGGCCAGGTCACCTTTGGAAAGGGAAAGAGCTCAGAGGATGAACACTGGAGTTTGATGATGCGATCAATTTGTCAGCCAATAGCCAAGTGGCATCCGCTGTTGATCTGAGGTCAGCCAGGCCCCCTACTTTGACTATGTTCTTGTAATGCACAGCATACTGGACAAAGTTGATCGTTTTCACGAAATCTAAGATGAAACCTCAGACTCTTCCACATATGGTCACTATGAAGGGCAAGCAAATAGAATGAGTATCAACTTACAAGTACTTGGTTTCTTGATAGATGAGTGTCTCAACTTTAAACCCCACATCGAAGGTCTTGTGAAAAAGCTTAGGCTCAAGTTGAGTTCTTATTTTCATAATAAGTCATGTTTTTCTTTTGAGGTGTGAAAGAGGCTTGTTTCCGCTACTTTTGTCCCTGTAACTGATTATGGTGATATCTTGTACATGTATGCCCCTGTGGCATCATTACGTATGCTGGACACTGTGTACCTTGGGGCTCTGAGGTTTGTTACTAACTCCAAAGCTCTCACACATCACTGTATCCTCTATATGAGAGTTGGCTGGCCTTCATTAGCTCTTCGGAGATTACATCATTGTACTTTTTTATTTATAAGGCCATATTGAGACAGCTCCCATTTGACTTGTGTAACTACATTGTCCAGCAGACAAATGAAAACTATCGCCTGCGCTCACGACTGTGTTTTGTTGATTGTGCCTAAGGCCCGTACAGAGATAGGGGAAAAAAACGTTCCTGTTCTCTGCCCCTTCCGCTTGAAACAAGCTTCAAAAGGTCCTGAAATTACAGGAGCTTGTCCCTTTAAATTAGTTTAAAGTTAAACACTATAATGGAAAATTGTGGAAAATGAAGTGGGGGGCTGTCAATGTTTTGACTCCTAGTTGCACCACACTTTCCCTAACCATCTTGCTGTTCAATGTGTAAATTCGTGTTTTTTAAAAAGTGCTTTGTGTTTTATGTTGTAAATGTGTGTGCAACTTTGTGTGCTGCTATTTTGTCCAGGTCTCTCTTGTAAAATAGTTTGGTCATCTCAATGAGACTAACCTGGTAAAATAAAGGTTTTTTTTTAAATGGAAATGTGTGGAGGACCAGGATTACTAACATTTAGTTTTTCAAGCTATTTCTCACAACTGATATCACCTCTCTGTGAACTATAGACTACTATACTTTACTACTATACTGAAATGATGTGGATAAATCATAAGTTCCAGCTGCTCACCTGATATGAGCAGTGCCTAATCACCTGTGAATATTATACACCATATATACAAAAGTATGTGGACACTCCTTCAAATGAGTGGTTTCGGCTATTTCAGCCACACCCGTTGCTGATAGGTGTATAAAATCGAGCACACAGCCATGCAATCTACATAGACAAACATTGGCAGTAGAATGGCCTTACTGAAGAGCTCAGTGACTTTCAATGTGGCACCGTCATAGGGTGCCACCTTTCCAACAAGTCATTTAATCAAATATCTGCCCTGCTAGAGCTGCCCCGGTCAACTGTAAGTGCTGTTATTGTGAAGTGGAAACGTCTAGGAGAAACAACGGATCAGCCGCGAAGTGGTAGGCCACACAAGCTCACAGAACGGGACCGCCGAGTGCTGAAGAGCGTAGTGCGTAAAAATCGTCTTTCCTCGGTTGCAACACTCACTACCGAGTTCCAAACTGCCTCTGGAAGCAACTTCAGCACAATAACTGTTAGTCGGGAGCTTCACCATGTGCAATGCCAAGCGTTGGCTGGAATGGTGTAAAGCTTGCTGCCATTGGACTCTGGAGCAGTGGAAACGTGTTCTCTGGAGTGATGAATCACGCTTCACCATCTGGCAGTCCAACGGATGAATCTAGGTTTGGCGGATGCCAGGAGAATGCTACCTGCCCCAATGCATAGTGCCAACTGTAAAGTTTGGTGGAGGAGGAATAATGGTATGGGGCTGTTTTTCATGGTTCGGGCTAGGTCTCTTGGTTCCAGTGAAGGGAAATCTTAATGCTAGAGCATACAATGACATTCTAGATGATTCTGTGCTTCCAACTCTGTGGCAACAGTTTGGGGAAGGCCCTTTCCTGTTTCAGGTCCATACAGAAATTGTTTGTCGAGATCAGTGTGTAAGAACTTGACTGGCTTGCACAGAGCCCTGACCTCAACCCCATCGAACACCTTTGGGATGAATTGGAACGCCGACTGCGAGCCAGGCCTAATCGCCCAACATCAGTGCCCGACCTCACTAATGCTCTTGTGGCTGAATGGAAGGAAGTCCCCGCAGCAATGTTCCAACATCTAGTGGAAAGCCTTCCCAGAAGAGTGGAGGCTGTTATAGCAGCAAAGGGGGTTTTGGAATGAGATGTTCGACGAGCAGGTATCCACATACTTTTGGACATGTAGTGTATGTATTGTCAGTAGGCTACGTATTTAAAGTAACTGTCCAGTGAATATATCATTTAAAAAAAAGTGAATATACTGTTAACTCATACCCAAATAATGGCCAAAGCATAAATTGGAGAAAAAAAGTATTTAAAAACCCCACCTCAAACTTGTATCTCAAACAGAACATTTCAAATATGCTTGCGGTGGCAGGTAGCCTAGTGGTTAAGAGTGTTGGGCCAGAAACTGAAAGGTCTCTGGTTTGAATCCCTGAGCCGACTAGGTGAAAAATCTGTCGATGCCCATGATTTCGGAATGAGATGTTCGACGAGCAGGTATCCACATACTTTTGGACATGTAGTGTATGTATTGTCAGTAGGCTACGTATTTAAAGTAACTGTCCAGTGAATATATCACTTTAAAAAAAGTGAATATACTGTTAACTCATACCCAAATAATGGCCAAAGCATAAATTGGAGAAAAAAAGTATTTAAAAACCCCACCTCAAACTTGTATCTCAAACAGAACATTTCAAATATGCTTGCGGTGGCAGGTAGCCTAGTGGTTAAGAGTGTTGGGCCAGAAACTGAAAGGTCTCTGGTTTGAATCCCTGAGCCGACTAGGTGAAAAATCTGTCGATGTGCCCTTGAGCAAGGCACATAACCTTAATTGTTCCTTTAAGTCACTCTGGATAAGAGCTAAATTACATTAAATAAATATTTTGTTTTCTTTGGGATTGGGAGGACAGAACACTACCACTCAACACCCCCTGCAAATCTTCTGCTGTAAAACCTCGCAATCCCGAGTACTTCTCTGTAGCTGCCACCACAACCTCTATTTTCTGTGACTTATGTTCCATTTCAGTACAGTTGACAACCACGGCTATGAATGCTTAGAAACCCACCTTACTGAAGGACGTATTATTCCCATCCCTCTCTATTGATCTCTGTCTACTCACAGGAATCCTCTCAGGATCCCTCACCCTGTACCCATCTTTCTCTACCACTCTCTTCACTGCTTCAGCACACAACACTTTCTGTACTACTCTGACCCTGGCAACCTCAACCTGCCTTTCTCTCACCGGACACCTCCGATCTCCAGCCTCATGGGCACCCCCACAGATTACACACACAACTTTCTCCACCGATACTACACAAAAGCTCTCACGGGATAACTAATACATCCTAACTTGACCTTTTCGGGCAAAGACTCTGCTTTAAAACTCAGCAGAACAGACAATGTCTTCTCCGTTTCACCACACTCCTCACCGGGTCTGCGTCGCACCAAACGGCAGTCGTCACAGACACCGGGAATCTTCCATTTCAGCTGATCCTCCTCAACACTTAATGCCACCCCCGTTATCACTCCTTTCAACGGTGCCCTGCTCCGAAGAGCAAAGCAAGTCACAATTCTTGTCCCTAGTCATGTGGTCCGGAGCTCTTCTCCACCCAAACTGACACCACATATGGATCCAACAGAATACAAGGATCCATGCTCTCCATAAATCTCACTCCCACTGGGCCAGAATAATCCTTTTCATTATCGGGACGAGGCTCAAACCAAGTTTGCTATTTCCTCATAGAACATGATGCCATGTTGGCTCATTGGCTGAGCTGGCCAACCAGTAGTCTACTCGCAAGAATATTTACAATTACCGGTATACGCTCACACCATTCTGTTGTTAGGGTACGCCCACACTATTCAAATACAGAAAAGCTGCTTTTTAACATACTTAATTACCCATTTTTGGAAGGAAAACTATTTCACTCATACTGTAATTAATTATAGGTCATATTTCATAGAAATCTGGAAACACTGGACAGTTACTTTAACTTCGAGCTGCACTCCTCCATTCAGGAACACCAGAGGGCACTCACTCAGTAGTTAATGGGCGCTTTTGAGTGGTAAGGCAAAAGTAGCCGACTGTAGACGGAAGTCGATGAGTAAAATCGGGGAGGTACACATGCACCGACAGTAAGTCGGACAACTTCTGCTGTTTATAGGAAACGCGACAATGGCAGAAATGGTATGCTATCGAAATTCCACTTCTCCTACACGAAGCTGAACATTATCAACACGTTCCAAGAAATTAATATCATGATGATAGCCTAAGTTAATTAGATACCAGCCCAAACATTCACAAGACTTGTTATTTTTAATTTTTTGTGATGGTTTTCTCATATAACCAGGGAGTGAGTACACAGGCTACTAGAATAAGAACATAGGTGTTTTTGCAGCATATGGGATATGCTCTGTTGTTTGTCATTACTTTATGCCCTTGTACCTTCCTCATTATTATTTGTGATTGTGCAACATGGAATTGTAACAGATGTGATTTAATGAAGTGCACAAAGATTCTTAACTTATAGTAATTGTTGCATGTCAGCATCACTAGAACCTTGAAGAAATCTATGTTCAGTAAAAACATTCACATATTTATACAATCTCAGCTCTGAAGTTGGACTCCCACAAGCAGTTTAGGCACGTTCATCCTGGTCTAGCAGGTACCTTTGTTGACCACATGAGGGTGCTCTGCTGTAGTGATGGGCATTCCGAGTATTTTCAGTGAGCCAAAAAGACTTGGAATGCCCTGGTACCAGATTGACGCGCTCTCCCCACTAATAATTTTGTAATTTATCTGTAGAAAAACGTTGTTTTAAGCTCAAAAAGCAGTAGTTGCAGTATGAAAATTAGGGAGCCAAATGAACGTCTCTTTCACCATTCGAAAA